CTTAAATTTATTCAAGTCAGATCTTCAACACGTCCAATGCAACGATAACAGTTGCAGTTTCCTCCTGGATCTTAATAGAAGTAGCGGTTGATTAGTGGTATGGTGTACATGTCGGTCAATATATTTTGACATGATGGTTTGGTTCCTACGAATTCTTGATATAATTTGAGTGAGATATTTTCCGCGAGAGTAGCTGCGTGTGTGTTTGATTGTGTAGTTCGTTGTTTGAGTGGAATCAACTAGCTGAAGGCGCTCGGTAATCCATCCGCACCAGATCACGTGTGGGAACGCCGTGCTCAACATCTACTGCAGTCGCTAGTCAGACTAGATCAGACAATTGCGATATATTGGCAATCGTCAAATACAACTTCTGATCTCCTCGATTCTGTCTTTTGATTTCTCTTGATGTGTACGAGTTAAATTAGAAGGTGTTACTGGTAAAAGCGTTGTCAAACACTGAATAACTGTGTCATCTTCACTGTTCATCATTCAATGATGTTAGACCTAATAAACATTTAATATTAATGAAGCATATTGTTTGCATGATCTTACCACAGTAATCTGTTCATTTGTTCGAATATATGTGACAATAGTTACCAACTCTAACGTTATGTTGAAACGACTTATTGGTGATAGTTTAAGTCACGAGTCAATCTACGTAAGACCATCAATGAGTAACTGGAAGTGCTGAACGGCCATTTTCAGTGGTGTTCTAATTTAGGTCGGCTCCTGATTCCAATGAAATTGAACCATTTCCACAACGTCATGCTGAATACAAATGTCTTATAGACCGGTAGTATAAAATATGGAGTTTGGATAGAGTTTGCGTAACATTTTTCGTGAAGTTGCAATGTTATGTCACTGGATGATGAGGTTGTCTCAAAGAGTGTTTCATTGAAATCGAATCTAAATATAAAACTGACAATTTTTACATCAAATTCATGTAGTTTGATTTAGATGGATTAGGAAAACGAACAATTAGCAGTCAATAAACTAATTTATAAAAGCAACAAAGTTGTTTATATTTACACCGGTAGTAATTCTGAAATACAAACCAACCAATGATTACTAAGTCTTATAAATAATGGGCTTAAATACCATCAATATTGATAGGGAATTTCAAGCATAGGTGAGTAATTTTCAGTCTTTGTTGGATCCTACAAACTACCTCGTTAGCGCTGCCGAGCAAGTTGAATCACTCAACAAACACCGAAGAACCAACCAGCTTGATGATTTACAGAGTGGCTGGCCTAGTTAATAGTAGTCAGGATGAAGGCAGCAAACAAACACGATACACAACAGTTGCGTTGGCTATCATGTAACATAGGCCTTTACACCACTACGTTAATTAGCGTGTACAGGCTACCTCGATCATTAGGTTTTCTCATCTGAGGTGACTTAAATGAGGCTCCTATGGCCTGATACGGCTCGAAGAACGACCTCTACAATCATATCAGATGTTGTGGAAGCCGATCTAGATCGGTAGGGCGACAGCAAAATGCCCGAAACTCGAGGTTTAGTACACAGCGACCACGGTCATGCCAATGGTATACGCCTTGTAGGCAAATCACCTTCAGCGACCTACCAGCACAGAACAGGGCAACACAATTTCAACAAAGATTTGCTTAAAAATTCGAAGACAGATATCGCTTCAGCGTAGCACCAGATAATGACATAAACTATCAAGTGCCACTACAGCAACGTAAGAGGTCTTATGATTGAGCTGGAAGAAATCGGGAACATCTTCTTTTAGTTTGACCATCAGTTCGTAGTGCCGACTGAAATATGGCCATCGTGTGAAATCAAAGATGGAAAATCGAGCTTGCCGGGTGTAATACTTTTACGATACGATAAGTTACACAAAAGGATAGATGGAAGGATAATATATCTTAACAGTCACTTCAAATCCGCAACATCAAACAGCACCGAATATATCAGAAGTTACGGGATCATTCTTATACTGCTTCAGTGAGAATATTGTACAACTATTAGTGTCCTAACTAACTTTTCTCTGTAAAATTAGACAAATGTCTGTATACATAAATATGACGATATGTGGAATATCGGTACAGTTCGGTAGGGATCATCAGTGATTAAACACATGTATGTGTACTCAATTATGAATCCGTTTGGTTGTGTTACAACCAGTAATATTAACTTGCTGATCAAACAGCACAACGTGTGGAGGGAAATCTGACATCGTCACTCAGTCGATGCCAGTTCAACTTCTCAATCATCACTCTACCTATATAACCTACAAACAATGCAACAAACTTGTATTCATTTGTTTGTTCTATGGGATTGATTTGTCAGACATCTGTCACAATATTCACTGTTGCTTTCTAACTTCATCAATATATGTCAAATGAATGAAAATTTGCGTATCAGTGTAATTGAAAGTGTGATTAGTATCCATATCGATCTGGTCACCAATGTGAGCACCATGTAGCACAGATAACATGTTGAGTAGATTTATTCGTTAATGATTGACTAGTTGATAAGCAGTTTGATGAAATAATCAAATATTGAATGACATTATGAATTAAACAACTACAGAGTCACACTCGTATCAAATGCATTGCAACATGTAAATAACGGAATTCGGGTGCAAGACTACAAGCAATTCTAATCGTATTGCTATAACAGTTTGTTTTGTCTAAATGGTTGATAAAGTGTATTGCACAGTGAGGGATATCGGATGGCCTCAACTACTGTATAATCGGGGTTTTGTATATGACCGAATCTGCCGTTTGTTACTTCAGAACATTCAAATAACTTGCACTTTATTTAGTGAGTGATGGCTTCTTCATAAATAACAGTCTGTCAGTGGTTCATAAGTATTTCGTCAAAATGGTCCTATTTATTAATGACATTTGAAGTTTCATCTGTAATTGCTACGTCGAGCGGTTTCACTGTGTGGCTTTTTAGATTTTGGAGTTCAAGTTTATTTAATATAAAGAAGTACATTTGTCAATTCCTACTCATTTATTCAGCCGTCCGTCCGTGCAGCTGCTTAACAATAATACAAACACACTAGTTTATCTATATTCAATACTGTATTTAAATTATGATATGTCGGTGATTTTGTTCACTTAACATTTTGTTATTGTCATACCAGAGTTCACTTTAAAAGATACATCTTTAACTAGACATTTGCATAAAACTAATACCACTACATCAACGTAAGAGGTATTATGATTGAGCTGGAAGAAATCGGGAACATCTTTTAGTTTGACGATCAGTTCGTAGTGCCGACTGAAATATGGCCATCGTGTGAAATCAAAGATGGAAAATCGAGCTTGCCCGGCGTAATACTTTTGCAATACAACAAGGGGACTAGAGCAGACTACATGTTAAGCATCTTTAGCACTCTCAATAGCCAACAGAGTAGCGCAGGTTAACAGAGTCTAATCACTGGGAGATAGTGAGGTACACCATCTCGTTTAATGTACCTCAGGGTAAGCTCAGATCCGGAAGGTGAGGATCCAGGACTAAAGAATGAACGGATCTCTCGGTACAGCCTGACACAAGTAGAAGGTCTCCTTTAAAGATTTGATCGTATTGCTCATGTAACCTGTGCATGTTGAGCAATTACAGAACATTGTGTCTTTTCAAATTTCCTATGATTATACAAAGAACAAGAAAAGAGCACACTCGATATAAACGTTGGTACGTGCAATAATTGTCGAATACATTATATTTGTGAATACGGAATAGTAGAGGCAGTGTTTGTATGTCTAAGAAATTAAATTCGTTTATGTTAACTTCCATCCATGGTCTTTTAATGATCTGTTAAAAAAATTAGCTCAGCGGGACTGATTAATTCAGACGCCTTCAAAACCTGAAGGTTCATAAAAAGTGAAGTGGATTCATTTCAGCTTTTAATGAACATTACAACAATAGAGAATCGGGCACTAGATAACTGGTTGATAATTAATATACCAAATTTTCATGTAATGTACACTCTGCTTCATTTAACGCATAACGCCTACACTCTCCACAGCAGCCTGCTTTTCAATGTTTCGTCGGAGTGTGATCTCAGGCTTGTAACCTCTGAGAGCCTAGACAGCAGTTCAAAATACATGAAAGATGCAACCAAGGTAAACGCAACTCTCTTCTTCATGAGTAGATAAATTGAGTAATCACAATCGAGTTGTTTCAAACACTGTTTACAACGTACTTACGGCCTCACCTTTAAGTCCACAACGTCGTTCCGTCCCCTCCCTTCAAAAGAAATATAATTCTTTTATACCAAGTAAACAGACTAGCAACCAAGCGGGTAATAGAGCCAAAGCATAAATCCTACGAGAACAGACTCACACGCCTGAAATTATTCTCTTTTAGCTGAAGGAGAATAAGAGTACGATCTGATAGTGTCATATAACATATCAGGAATAATAAGCCACCCGAATACGTGTATAATGCCAAAACATCATCACCATGCTCCTCGAGGTAACCTTCGAGAGACTGCACATCAAAGAGCTAGCGCCCAAGTACACTCATCTTTCTCACTTGACGCTGCCCTCATTTGATATTCCCTTCCAGCAGAAGTTTCCATATCCCCCTCGGTAAATAGCTCTAAAACACGTACTCGCTCATGGACTGTTACCGCACTCTAAGACCAGCTAAGTTTGGTGTATGTCTCGTAGACGACCACGGTCACCATTAACCCATATCCATTAACTAGCCCCAATTATTGTCTCTCTTTTCCTTATTACAGTTACATTTCGGTCTTCTTACACATTACCAATTGACTAGTTTATTTATTCTTCAAACAATCGTTTTCTCTAAGCACTCGAATTATCACTCCATTTCCACACTGAGATAGCCAACACCCTGTGTCGTACCGCCCATCGTACATAACCAGATACCTGTAAAAGTGCCAAAAAAGCAAGAAGATGGCGCAAATAAACAAATCAGTTTATACAACGTAGAGACAAAGTAATTGGATATATATTTTTAGCGTCATTCACGAATAGTTGCGTTGCTTTTTTGAAGTGATGGCTGGGAAGGTCGTTAAGCAGTTGGCTGGTAGTGGGACTGGTCAGAGCCTTTCGGACTTGATGACAGCGATGAAGTATACTTTATCAGGCTCTGTAGTTGTTAAAATTATTTGCAAAGCTACAACAGAAGAAATGTGTGCTCCTAAAAGAAAACATTTGTCCTGTAAGTGTCAGGATAACCGTTTATGAATTATAAAGATCTTGTACAATGTACGTTTGAACCTCGCCTTTCAGTCCCGGATTTCGCCAACCAACTCGTCATCCGCACACAACATAGCAACTTGGTTGTTGTATTCAAAGCATTGCTGACGATACACCACTTAATGCAGTTTGGGAACGAGGTTAGAACATTATTTTGATAAAATTTATTAACTGAAGCTGTAAAGCTTGTGTGTACTGTGAATTGCTGTTTCTATTCGGGCATGTATTGAGAAAACTCATAAATGAGCCCAGTGTTTCACGTTAAAAAAAAACCCTAAGTCCTTTTATTTTGAGAGAATTTTGAGGTTTTACCCTAAGTCGTGGAACGTTTGTTGGTTTTCCCCAAAGTTTTGGGTAATTTTGAGGAAAATCTCTCATTTTCCGCAAACATTTTGGGGATTTTCCCCAGACCTGGGGAAATTCTGGTGTTCTTGTACCGTTTCCCCAGTTTTCTACTGCGGCTTCCCCTAAATTTACCCTTCAAGTAGGGAGATTTGGTTCCTGCATATCTATTTCCACAGAAAAAAAGTAATTCCGATAGTTAAGTACTGTCTACCGGGTAGATGGTGCCGTTTCAGACAATAGGCGTTCTCGAGAGTGTAATGGTGCCATATTCCCTGAGCTTCCATGAAAGGATCCACCTGTACTTTAGATCTTCCTTATTGTTTCAAACGCCAAGTTACTTTACTTTCAAAACTATCAAGTTAAACTCTATTCAATTTGATCTTCATTGTAGGGTAGCGTGACTAATTTTCGTTCAGTGTTGACCGAAGTAAAGTATAGGAATCTATAATTGGTCAGTTGGACTAAATATATAGCTAGTTAAAGCGACAGTGATGGAAATAGGCAACAGTATACAGTTATTCAGTCTTCTCAAAGTAATGTTAGAAATGAAGGATTTAAGGTGATTATTATTGAACGATATAGGACAGTAATTCACTCTCAGCCCAAAAGACTGGAATAGTGGGGCGAAACTTTGAAAAAATAATTTGGCTGCTATCTAGCTACCCTTCACTTACCTATTTTTACCAAACAAAGTAGGGCATCAACATAAACCCCTCTACTCTTTGAGCAGAAAAAGCTATAGCCAATAGAAAGCAAGGGAGAACAATAAACCATAGTGAATTAAACCCCCTAAACTCAAAGGATCATAGTACAGTTCTAGTTTTCAGGTTGACTGTAATCTTAGTTGGTCTGAGAACTGGACGTAATTTCATTTTTTACATTACAAATCTTTTCACTGACTATAATTTCCTCTAAAGTAACCATAGCACTAGACAAATTTAATATTGAACAAACATCGAAACAGTGAAAGTAACGAAATGCAGTAGAGAGAATAACACTTTTAAATAATAACTAGTGGTTCAAACCCTACTGGCTAGATCACAGCTTATGAGGAGTTGACATTGTAGTCGACAACTTCAAGTGATGTTTGTCAACCTTGTTTGCTTTCTTTTTTTATTTAACTTAGACATTCCTTCTTTCCAGTTGTCGTCAAGTGCTGTTCATAGTGTTGATCCCTGTTTCCGATCCCAAGTGCTGTGTACGCTAGTTTTCCCCTTTTCCTTTTGGCTTGGAGATTCCAAGTCAGAGCTTTCCTTGTGTTGCAGTTCAATGGTTTACGCATAGTGTATGCTATCCACATCCAGCGTCTTTACCTAACTTCCTCTTCAACTGGCAGCTGGTTTGTTGGTCTCTGGCCAATGAATCGGGTATCTTCTATAGGCAGTTCTTTATAAATACATGTGACTCAGAGATGGTTGTGGTGCTTGTCCGAGTATGAGATCCATGTAACAGAATTGTTTTGACGTTAGGTTTGAAATTTTCGACTTTAGTGTTCGGTGACATTTCTTCTGGGTCTCAGATCTTCAGTTGTAGAGATCCTTCCGTTGTTTTACGAATTCGTGTCTTCATATCTGTACCGGATCCTCCCTGGTACTACTCAGGTACATAAAGGCTTCCACCTCTTCCAGAGCTTCACTATTGGGTGTAATATGGTTGGTACTTACACTTTTATACTTTAGGACCTTAATTTTTCCTTTATTTATTTATTTAAACACATAAATATTGGTACAAAAAGGTACCATATAGATATGCGCCACATAAATCATTCGATTTATGTGAGAGCTGGGATACTGCCCGGGTGCCCAAACTGAGGCAGGTGGTTTCCTTAGGGAGGTACACCAGGAGTCTTCGACCTAAAGGTCAGATCCACAAGGCAGTGGAACAACGTCAGAAGATGCAATTCCATGCTAGCTAGTGACCAACAATAGGTTCATACTCCATTTGTTCCCTCAGGATCCTGGAGCCCATGTGTACCATTGGTTTAAAATCAGGGTTTTCCAACTGTCCTAAGTGGACTTTCCATGTCCACCAACCCGGTTAAAGTGCCTGACATTTACTTTTCATTCTTTCAATTTCGTAAGCAACACCCAGTCGTAGCGAGAAGGCATTGAGTAGGACTTCCATGGTAGTGCCCGTATACACGTAGCCATGTGAGAGCATTTCGAGAGGGGAAGCGTACTCTCTCCAAGGTATTTGGAAGCATATTTGTGCTATAATTATTGCCTTTCTTCGTCTGCATTCGTTGCTGTGTATGCGATAGCAGGTTTAAGTAATCTGCAAAGTTAAAATCACTTATCTGTGCCTAAAGTTTCCACTTTTCCGCATCTTTTCTGAAATACTAAGTTCTCCATAACCCAGTCAACGACCAAAAGAAAAAGAAAATGTAAAAATAGACAGCTCTGTCTAACACTAGTCTACACTTAAAATACATATGTTAGGTCCCCTTCATACATGATCTTGTAGTACAGTTCCTCTCAAGAATTCCGCATGATAATGACAATCTTCTAAGGTACCCTTTAGTGTCGAAGAAAGATCTCCATGATATATCCCACACTAAAGAAAAACAGCGTTGTAGGAAGTCTAATTGTGTGTGACATTGTCAGGACTTCTTAGCGATAGGTTTAGACGTTAGCGACAACTTTACTCAGAATAAAATTGTATGCAAGTTCATGCACCAGTCACAACACACTTAAATCTTTACTATATCCTAATATAATTCAACCGTGGTTCGCAGTCATTCGACTTCCAACCAGTAAGTCACAGATTCAAACTCATTTTCCCCGGGTACAAAAGGCGAGTAGTATCAGCAACGCTCTCGTAGTAAATGGTATTCAAAGGGTAGAACACAAACATGCAGTAGGCCAATTTACTTAGTTTATACCATATAAACGATTGAGTCCTAGTTATCTATTAATTTTCTATTTGCAAACTATTTTATAAATTACAATAATAATTTCCTTGGTCATTATTTCAGAGGTTTTCACAATACATCGCTTCAAATAACTGCCATTTCTATGTACCAAGTTTACATGATCGCAACAGTGTTCAGGGTATGTTCTTCTTGATCTAATGGTTAAATTTATATTGCATAGTGGACAGTCATTTTTCAATTTATATAAAATTCAAAAATTGTGTTTATTTGTTTGCTGCTTCAAATGTTTTCTTTATTTATGTATATAAAAACATACTAGCAAGACAATATTCTCTTCTAATCTCTAACACACCACAGCCTCCAAATGCCGTAGTACAGCCGAGAGTGAGGAGAATCCGTTCTCACATGGCTACGTGTATACGGGCACTACCATGGAAGTCCTACTCAATGCCTTCTCGCTACGACTGGGTGTTGCTTACGAAATTGAAAGAATGAAAAGCAAATGTCAGGCACTTTAACCGGGTTGGTGGACATGGAAAGTCCACTTAGGACAGTTGGAAAACCCTGATTCTAAACCAATGGTACACATGGGCTCCAGGATCCTGAGGGAACAAATGGAGTATGAACCTATTGTTGGTCACCAGCTGGCATGGAATTGCATCTTCTGACGTTGTTCCACTGCCTTGTGGATCTGACCTTTAGGTCGAAGACTCCTGGTGTACCTCCCTAAGGAAACCACCTGCCTCAGTTTGGGCACCCGGGCAGTATCCCAGCTCTCACATAAATCGAATGATTTATGTGGCGCATATCTATATGGTACCTCTTTGTACCAATATTTATGTGTTTAAATAAATAAATAGAAAACTTCAGATGTACACAATCAAAAAGCAGTTAATCCCTTTCATAAATTGTGATGGGAAAATTAGAAGATGGAGTTGATTTAAAGGATGTGATTTATTCACACCATACACTTCAAACTATCTGATTACTCTCATAATTGTTATGGCATTTCGCTTGGAAACCAATAGAATTCAGTTAAATAGAGGTTCGATTGTAAATAAGAGCGATAAAAAGTAATGTAATATGGAAAGAAAAGGAAATTGTCACATTATTCCTAGTCGTTAAATGGCTAAAAGATTACCAGGTTAGATTCAAGGTTACAACAAGTGATTTCTGTACACATAAAGAAGGGGTTTAAATTCGCGAATAGCTAACGCTTCTATAAGCCTAAGGACTCGTTCTTGGGAATCCCCATACAGTATTTTAAAAGCTGTGTTCATGTCAATTCTGTAGCCCGTTTCTCTTATGTGCCTTACTGTCGGTGAACATGGTTTTCTACTTCCTTTGTATATTTCAGCGCTTGTCACTGGTTTTAAGGCCATCTTGATACATGTTCTATAACCCTCAATTAAAAACATGTAAATTGACAAATCCAGTGATGTAGTCGTTTTGGCAATTTCTAGGCATGTCTGGAATCATAAGCTTAGTTTTTTTAATAACTATTTACTTACCGGCATAGTACGTTTTCTCAACGGCTCCTCCCAGTCTCTTTCTCAAAACTATGCTGTTCAGTGCTTTTCTAGATGGTAAACAGATATAAACCCTTTTATTCGCAATAAAAGTAAGAGGAGATTTAGGCATTAACTGACTTTTACACCAATTTATAATCTTCGACAAGTAACCGTTTAGAATCTTTATATGATTGAAAATCAAGAAAAAAGAACATGAATACAACTGCACCATTGTAAATGGTTTAACGTCACACCACTCAGAGTCTCGAATCAACCACTACGATTATTGCATGTGCCCCAACCAAGATGTCCGCATCTGTCAACATGGCTCAGTTCAACAGTTAGGGGTTCAATCTATTAATATCAAATCCTTTTTCTAACTTGTCTTAATAACATCCAATGTCCCACTACAAGTATGGGGTATTTATGCACACAAATCTTGACGAACTCAATCAACGAGGGTTTATAGCTTCATCTGTCAACTTGCTCTTTTTTTAACCTAATACCTTTCCCTTAACCTTAGGATCATTCACTCAGTGGTTTTATTACATAGAACTAATACCTTGTAGAGATACCTATGATTGGAAACTTACTTCCTACGTTTTATCTTCTATTTTCATTGGGTATATTACCGTGGTATTATTTAGTTATTATCAGATTGGGTTTTGTGGAGAGTTTAAGAAATTTCACAGGTTGAAATCATGAGTCAGTTGAAGCTAGACCACCATTGAAAACCTGGAAGCACTGGATGGCCATCTCGTCCTGGTATGGGACTCATCAGCAGTGCGCATCCACGATCCCGCACCACGCGAGGCTCGAACCCAGGACCTACTGGCTCCGCGCGCGAGCACTTAACCACTAGACCACTGAGCCGGCATCCAACGGTGTTAATGTCTAACTTCAACCAATCCACGAAGTTGCGCCACCGTACACCATTGCCTTCAGTGAGTTGTTATCTCACTTTGTTATCTATCTAATTGACGTTTATATTTCATTCATAAATACATTATCTTAATATACGTATCATATATAGTTCTGATAAACTTTGTCTTTTCATTACATTATTCAAATGATTCTTTGATTTGGAATAAATAACCTAATACTTGTATTAGATTATCAACATTGTACTGCATATTGGTTTTTTTTTCTTCTCAGTATTGTTAAATAACCTAATTTCTTCTTTATGCACTGATCACGTTCCACTGTTTAATTTATACTGTAAACTCTTACTAATCATAGTAATAATGTCGATGTATTTTATGTGTGTATGCATGTTGATCGGTTCTTCTTTTTGTCTTGTAGTCATTTATTATGAATTCATTAGCTGATTTTTCTTTTTTGTTCTTCTTTTACTTTGTTAATCTACCAATCTATAACACTTAACACATTCAATAATCCTTAATGAATTCAGTTTTTGTTCACCTACTATATATATATATAGGCATATTAATTCAGATGATTAACAAAATAAACCGATCACTATAATAAGCAAAGATGGATAGTGGCTAGCAGTGGAATGGAGGACGCGCGTTTCATCCTATTTGGGACTTGTCAGCTGGATGTACCTGCATCTCAGAGTTGATGTTCACTCTGGGACTCGAACTCAGTACCGTTCGCTTCAAACGCCATCGCGTTATCCACTTAGCTACTGAGTGCTGATAGCCACTTGCTTGTGCAATGGGGTGAAGTTTAATTCACTTGATATTGTTTTATTTGAATCTTCCCATTGATGTTTTAGGACTGAAGTTGATCAGTCTCTTATTAGCATATGCGCATACTGTGCGTATGCCTCGATACTGAAAGCATTATAAGCAGAGATGGATAGTGGCTAGCACATATGCCAATAAGAGACTGATCAACTTCAGTCCTAAAACATCAATGGGAAGATTCAAATAAAACAATATCAAGTGAATCGATCACTATATTGTTTATAACCTACTCTTTTACACTATAAAACTGTAAACAACGAAAAAGAGACTTTTCACCCAATCCTCCATTCTAGTAAATAAAAGAAAGTAAGACAAGTTCTTCAAAAGTAATCATAGTACTAGACAAATTTACCATTGAATAAACATCATAACAATGAAAGTAACAAAATGCAGTAGAGAGGATAACACTTTGAAGTAATAATTAATGATTCAAACACTATTGACTAAATCAGAGCTTATGAGGAGATGACATTGTAATCGAGAACTTCAAATGATGTTTGTCAAGCTTGTTTGCTTTCTATATTTTTATTTAATTTCGTCATAGACATTCCTTTAAAGATAATTCTAATCATCCAACTTTTCTAGAGTTGATCTCCTAACAAGGGATCATCTTGTTGACTTTAGAATACGCAGATGATATGGTTCTGTTTGGCGGAGACGCTGAAAAGTACACTGTTCTGATGTCGTTGAACACCGATGCTAGCATATCCCTCTCTAAATGCAAAATGTTGCTTCACGACTGGTCTGCATCAACACCTAAACTAACGATGAAGAGTGAATTAGTTGAGTGTACTGATCACTTTACTTGTCTTAGAAGTCTCATCACCCCCCATTGGATTGGTTTCTGACGAAATTACGGCACAAAATCAGATAGTTCGATCGACTTTTGTCAACTCAAGACCACCTCTAACAGTTCACTAATGTATATCTTCTCGAGTTGTATGTTCAATGCCTAATCTTTTCTATTACCACTAATACTGTCACTGTATCCACTACTCTGTGATTTGCACTGATAATTTCATCTCGCTGTGTTAATGGGGTGATGGCAACTTGGATCTATGTACAGATTTATTCCATGTTCTACGTTGCGTATGGCTGACTGTAATTGTAAAATAAAATCAAAACTGCAACATTCTCCATTGGGTTGATTCATGATCATATTTAATAGCGTTTTGTACTGCTCAATTTGATGATCTCTATGACAATCCAGGGGCGCAATGAGCTAACAATACTGTATCACATGGTAAACTGGCGGCCTTTCCATTATTCTACAGCAATAGTGATACACAGAAGTCGCTGAAGGACCTAATAATCTCGGAAATATTGCAAGTTTCCAAGCCTTAAATACCTGTTTTGGAAACGATTTACGAATTGGAAACCGGTTTTAATTCTTCGGACACAAGAGGTCAATAATTCAATAGATAATCGTTGGACAGTGATGCTGGAGAGATTATGTATCGCAAATAAAATGCAGGATTGTTAGCAATAAATTGTTGTACACCTAACCTTTCACAGACGAAAACTGTTCAGACTGACGTATGCTGCTTTCCCCTTCACTATATTAAGGTTGACTTTTTGTCACTACTACCAACACACACAATTAACCTGATACATGGACTTATCTACTTACTTCACAGGTTCATTATCTCGGAATTCCTTTGTCCAATATTTTAACGCTTCCATAATCAAACGTATGTTCACAGTTTTCCACATGCATTAATATAAACGAAGCTATGTCATTACCTTTAAAAGCTGAATAGCGTTCGTGTAAACATAGATGAAGAAAGCAATCACTTTGTCTCACGAAATGTTGATCACAGTTGCTACAATTTATCTTGTAGATTGTGACGTTTTTATACGCTTTTAGGCTACACCCATTCCTAGAAACCTTAATGGTTTATTTTTGATCTCGATGATATATATATATATATATATCCCTCCATAATCTCTTTTTTTCTCCCAATACTATCACATTCAGCCCATGGAATTTCCTTGTTTCTACGACCATATGCAAAATATCTGGATGAAAAAGCAGCTTCTTATCGTGAAGTAGCCTTCGACTTCTGTCGTTTAAAACGCGGGTAAGTTATTGTACCATATTTTTCGTTGCTGCCCATCTGATTGCAGTGACTACTTTAATTCAACTCTAATAAGAACGTATTTTGAAGTACGGTGGCATGAATTCTCGTATATTTTGATAGTAGTCTTTATTACTACTGTTATTATTCACAGTAGTATGCCCATTTCTTGTAATATTTTCTCCACGCGTTGACAAAGTCAAGCTTATCGATAACCTATTTGAGAGGTTCGTTTTCTCGTTTCGCAAGAATAGGATCTAGAGGTAAACCCATCGCTATTCCATCACTTTGTCTATAATATGTATTATTGAGGACAGAATAGACGTTTACTGTAGATTTCAGAAGCAATTCTTTGAGACTACTCTCATGGATTCTAATATCGATCTGTTTTTCAGGTAGTTGTTGACTTTTATTGTCGTTACATTAATGATACTTTCATTATCGTTGATCAGAACATTGGAAAAGAAGAGCTCCTAGAGCTATTTAACAATAAACACTTAGCAATGAAATTTACCTGTGAAGAGGAACTTGGTAATCAACTACATTTCCTTGACGTTTTGTTAAAGAGAAAAGAAAGTGGTTCTATCAATAGAAGTGTATATAGAAAAAGTTCTTCAGCAAACCAATACACACATTTCTTGGGCTTTGTAGCCATTCATTATAAGAGAAACCTAGTCAGATGCATGTCAAATAGAGCTACAAAGATATGCTCAGTCGATACTATTGACAAGGAACTAGAGCTTAATCATAATATGTTAATTGAAGTGGGTTACCCACAAGGTTTCCTGAAGAAGCAGTTGCATGTAACAAATATGAAAGTGGCAATACCAACGGCTAATAAGAAAACTCTATTCCTGAATCTGCAATTCAATGAAGATGTAGCTGATGTGCTGCGTAATACACTGACTAGAGCAGTGAAGAGAACGTTTAATTCAGCCAACCTCTGTCTATTGTACTCCACTCGGTCCATGGTGATTCCTCAACTAAAGGATAAGTTACCTGGTTCTATCACATCAGTGTGTATCTACGAATTCAGATGATCCTGTGGAGAAAGCTATACTGGACGCGCTACCAGACAACTGAGCCACCAAGTCAGTAAACACCCCCCTTCGTGGTTAGGAAAAGGTACTGTCAAAGCAATACGTAGCTCTGTTCTATCACACTTGATGAATATCGGCCATGTAGTAGACAGAAATAGATTATTTAAAGTGATTTGTCATATTCCTACTAGTTTTCCTTATGGTGTTCGATCTCATCTCTTACACATAGCAGAAGCTATAATAATTCGAGCTAACAATCCAAGTCTTTTTGTTCATAAGGTATTTTTAACAACTTTATCTCTCCCTTGACCTTAATAAATGATTTTATTCATTTTTATTTTCGGTACTCATTCGTTTGTTTTTCTTCACCCCTTCGCACACTTTTTCCAAACATACGTTTCATTGTCTAATTATCTGAACACATCTTATTACGTAATCTTATATTGTTTATGAATGTTATTTCACTGTCTATATTTTTCTAATCACTGACCTGCTCCCGATTATGTAACATTGATTTAATATCAGAAGGGGTTTTGTGGAGATTTTAGGTATTCCACTGGTTGAAATCATGAGTCAATTGAAACTAGACCACCATGGAAAACCTGGAAGCACTGAACGACCGTTTCGTCGTAGTATGGGGCTTCTCAGCAGTGCGCATTCACGATCCCGCCCTCCACGAGATTCGAACCCAGGACCTATCAGTCTCGCGCCAGACGCTTAACCAACTAGACGACTGAGCTGACATTCAACGATGTTAATGTCTAACTTTAACCAATCTACGAAGTTGCGCCATCGTACACCATTGTCTTCAATGAGTTGGATGCCGGCTCAGTGGTCTAGTTCTTATCTTCTTATCTTTCCATTATTATCAGTATTTTGTTTTATGTTTGTTTCTTTTTGGTAATTGTTTTCCAATTTTTAATAGTTTATCAAATATTAATAGAAAAAGTGAAACAGTTAATTATACATCAGATTTATTGTTTTATAGGAAAGAAGATGGTGATATACGAACAATGCCTCAAGATAAAGTAAGTCATTAATACTTTCATTCAACATATCAATTGATTTAATTCGACTTTAAATTTCATCTTTTAAATTTTCTGCGATATTCATTAAAAATTTTGTCAATTATCATCTACAATTTTATACAAAATCAAATTTGAAGTATGAATTACATACTGAATTGTAAAAATCTAACAGTTTTTTTATATTCAACTTCAGTATAACCATTAATCCTTCATTCTTATACCAACTAACTTCATTGATTTCATAATTCCTTCTTTAAGAATTTCATGAAATTCCCTATCGAATAGAATCATTACTATCTAATTAAAAAAATTCGTAAAAACAAACATGATTTGTCAAATTAAATTGCCTAAAAGTTATTCGAACAACAATCGGTAGCGATAGTTATGATCTAGGCTAAACGATTAATTTTGATTGTTGGATTAATAAAATAACTTCATGTGTGATCAGTATGCCTATATTAGTCGTTTATTAGGCCCCCAAATGCCCTGGTACGGCCGAGAGTGAGGAGAGTCCGCTCTCTCTCTCGAAAAACTTTCACACGGCCACGCGTATATAACCTCTGCCAGGGAAGTCCTACTCACTGCCTTCTCGTGGCGGGGGTGTTGTTTACGAAAATGAGAGGACGAAAAGCGAATGTCCGGCGCTTTAACCGGATTCCAAACCAATGGTGCACATGGGCTCCAGTATCCTGAGGGAACAAATGGCGAATGAACCAATTGTTGGTCACCGGCTTCCATGGGACTGCATCTCCTTACGATGCTCCACTGCCTTGTGGATCAGACCTTCAGGTCGAAGGCTCGGGGTGTGGCCCCCTAAGAAAACCACCTGCTTCGGTTTGGGCACCCAAGCAGTATCACAGCCCTCACACATATCGAATGAGATTTGTGTGGCGCATATGTATTTGGTGCCTCTTTGTACCATTATCTATGTGTTGAAATAATAATAATAAGTCGTTTATTATCACATAATAAAAGTTCTTTAGATCATAAGTAGTGTCAATACATTTTTCGTTTCCAGTAAAAACTATCGAGTAATGCTATTCATTAAGGGCTGTCAATAGTGTTTTTTAGTAGAAAAAGAAGTGAATCAGTCGAACCTGTTCAAACAACTTGCTAGTCACTGACATCTTCTAGAAATGCATTGATTTAAAGTCATGATACATTTTTCTTTAAAATGAAAATTACTTTGTTGATTGTTCAAAACATCTGATTTCTTATTATCAATGTGATCAAAAATTTGTGAGCTTTCTCAGTAACGGACGCCAATAAGATCATACCTTAACTAGAATATGTCACTAAAAACAAATAATTCCGGTGACACTTTAATTTATGGACGACCTTTAAGCGACGCTACCTACTTACTAGGGCTAAATGAGGGTTATAAAGCAGTTTTTATTTTTATTTTAACACATAGATATTGGTACAAGGAGGCGCCAGATACATATGCGCCACACTCATCTCATTTGATATGTGTGAGGACTGTGATACTGCCCGGGTGCCCAAACCGAAGCAGGTGGTTTTCTTAGGAGGCCACAACTGGAGCCTTTGATCTAAAGGTCTGATCCACGAGGCAGTGGAGCATCATAAGGAGATGCAGTCCCATTGTAGCCGGTGACTAATAATAGGTTCATACGCCATTTGTTCCCTCAGGGTACTGGAGCCCATGTGCACCATTGGTTTGGAATGAGGGTTTTCCAACTCCCCTAGGTGGACTCTCCATGTTCACCAACCCGGTTAAAGTGCCAGACATTAGCTTTTCTTCCTCTCAATTTCGTAAACAACACCCCCACCACGAGGAATTGAGTAGAACTTCCCTGGAAGAGGATATATACACGCGGCCATGTGAGAGCATTTCGAGAGGGAGAATGAACTCCCAACTCTCGGCCGTACCAGGGCATTTGGTGGCTATAAAGAAGTTTGAAGAATAAGGATTATGATTTACAGTTGATGGGTAAGGTTGGGAATTAGATTTAGGGTTTTTATCACGAACTGACATCAGCTATTATGCCAAAACTATTTATTCAAATGGATAAGTGAATTTCGCGCCAAAATCTAAGACCCGTCCTCCTCGATATGATTGGTTCGTCCATAGATTATAGTCTTGCCGCAGTTTCTTTAAAGAGTTACATCTATCTTTTAGAGAAACTGCATTTTTTTTATTGTGAGTTGAGTTATTTTAACCTCGAAGTGTTTGTAATATAGTGTACTAGTCACTATAGAGATGCCTATTTTGAATAAAGTACACAAACTGTTATGTAATCATTGGGAATGGATAAAATAAAATAGTTTCAGGACAGCATTAATAAATTAATTGTAATTCGGGTAAATCAAATGATCATACAGTATTTTATCCAGACTAATTTAACCACTTTTCCCAGATCTCTCTTAAATCAAAATCATCTGATCTAAATCAAGATTAAATATTGTTCATTAATAAATAGTTGGTTTAACTCCAATCATTTAAATAATTTTCAGCTTAAAGTACAAATTGATTTTAGCTAGATCACTATTGAAAACCTGGAAGCATTAAATGGTCATTTCTCCCTAGTATGGGACTCTTCTAGAATATAACTCCTGTAGTTCTAGTGGATTCCAATCCATTTCGGATGTATGACAGTCATCCACCACAGAACAATTGATGAGGGTTTCGAAATATCGTGAACTGATTGAAATTAGACACTAAAACCATTGGTGTGAAAGTTAAGCGTTCTAGCGCGAAGCTTAAAGTTTTAGCTTTCGCTTCTTGCGTACGTGGTTGCGGATCCTCACTAGTATAAGAAGTTTCATGCAAGAACAAAACGGTTATCCAATCTTTCCAGGTTCTCAATCGTGGTCTAACTGAGATCAGTAAGTAAAACAATTGTACAATCTCCACAAATCCACCATACTAGTGATAAAATTAATTATCAGTATAGGGGTTGTGAAGATTATTAAGTTTTTGATTGAGATCTTGGGCCAATTAATGGAGCTAATCCGTGTGGAGTAGAGACAGGTATCTAACTCAGTACAATCGAAGATGGTCGCGCAATTTCGTGGATTGGTTGATGTTAGACATTAACACTATTGGATGCCAACTCAGTGGTCTAGTAGGTAAAGCATTCGTGCGTGCGATTGAAGGCCCTGGGTTCGAATCCTGTGAGAGGGATCGTGGATGCGCACTGTTGAGGAGTCCCACAATAGGACAGAACGACCGTTCAGTGCTTCCAGGTTTTCAATGGTTGTCTAACATCAATCAGTTGATAATCTCAATCAAAAGATAAAATTAATGTTTACACTTTGTATAGGAAAAATCAATCAGATTTAATTAAATAATGTCCAAACGTTTCCATCACTATGAACGTGACTCTTAATAGTTTTTACCGCATTAAAAGCATGTTCATTTTGTGTGTTTTTTTAACAGACATGTCATAAGATTGTGAATAAAGAGTGAGAGCGGTGTATTTTGTTTATATCGCATACAAAAGATCTAAATTTATAAAGGTCAAACTAATAAAAAGGACAATGAATGTTATGTATGTCTACTGGTTAATTTAAAGAAGTTAACAATCTATTGATTTAGAAACCACATATATGTTAGCATATAAATTATTAGTGTCTATCAATACAAAATCATAAACTTCCGTATTCTATGTAAGTGGAAATCGTTATACCTTCACATGTGATGCAATCTCAGATCGAACTTATCAAAATACTGTTGGATAAGTGAAGTAGTGGTTTAGTGCTTAGAATGTTTCACTTTCAATCATTAACTTCCGGATTCGAACCCCACCCCGTTTACTTAGATTCGGGAAACCAAATATTCCTATTAGACTCTAAACGCGAATAAATGCCTAGTAATTTATTTTATACCTGCGGTAATCAAAATCTGTACACTACTCACAAGTTATTAGCTCGAAGTCAAATACAGTTTACGAAAGAATATAATCACAGATGAAAATCCAAGTTTTCATACTAATGTAGTGATTGCAACCGATAATGTAATAAAGTTGGTTATGAGTCTTGAAGTCACTCCCAATTGACATTCGTAGTCTAAGCTTCCTGAAAACTTTTCAATTTACAGTTCAAAATCTTCAATAGTGGTTTCATAACACTTAGCTAACTGTACGGCATACGCCTCAGACTGACCACTGACGTTTTCAGTTACAGCACATCTATACCGTATAACAAATGTTCAGTTTCAAGATGGAGGAGAAAATAGTTGAATTTATTCCTTATCAGGCAAGTACCTTGAATCAAGTACCTTCAATCATGTGGTTGAAATCTTTAGATGGAATAGAAACTCCATCTTTATTAAAACTGATGTAAAGGTGCAACAACTCAGTGGTATCACTATCACTACAGAAAGATTCTACATCATTTTTGGGGAGGGGTGATACAGTGCCCAAGAATTATTTCTAACAATCGGATCTTAATTAATTGGAGAGTGAGCGGTGCACAAATTGATTTCCTTGAATCAATCACCTGTAATATGTTATTTCATTTCATAAAAGGTCAAATCTTCTGGCTAGCCGGTCTTATCTTTAATTTCTAATCATTCTGGTTGTTGGGTTAATAAAATGGCCTCGTTAGCAGCCATCACTCAGCCGCATTGTATCATTGTGTGTATGTGTGTTATTATTTATTTTAACACATATATATTGGTGCAAGGAGGCACCATATACATATGTACCACACAGATTTCATTTGATATGTGTAAGGGCTGGGATACTGTCCGGGTGCTCAAACCGAAGCAGGTGGTTTTCTTAGGGGGCCACACCCCGAGCCTTCGACCTGAAGGTCTGATCCACAAGGCAGTGGAGCATCGTAAGGAGATGCAGTCCCATGGAAGCCGGTGACCAACAATTGGTTCATTCGCCATTTGTTCCCGCAGGATACTGGAGCCCATGTGCACCATTGGTTTGGAATCCGGTTAAAGCGCCGGACATTCGCTTTTCGTCCTCTCATTTTCGTAAACAACACCCCCGCCACGAGAAGGCAGTGAGTAGGACTTCCCTGGCAGAGGCTATATACGCGTGGCCGTGTGAGAGTAGTTCGAGAGGGAGAGCGGACTCTCCCCACTCTCGGCCGTACCAGGGCATTTGGGGGCTAAAGTGGGGGGCGCCTCCGGGTGGGTTACCATCTATCGATCAGCACTTTGTTCTTCAATTCCACTCATTATATAGTAAAATCACCCTATATTATGGTGATTTCTTCAGATAAACTACCTAAATTATTTACACATCATTTTCTAATTGTGAACTAGATTTTTCTGTAGTTTGAAATGTGGATGAGCGCGACCATGAATTATGGACAGATCAATATAGATTTAAGATAGTGAGTCTTGTATTTTGGCACGAAATCCATTGACCTATATGGTTAAGTAGCATTTTGCTATTACGGTTAATGTCGGTTCGTGATGAGAACTCTAACTCGAATTCCTAACCATAGCATCGAACTGTAAATCCTAATCCTAATTCCTCATACTAATTTATAACCTTCTTTTAACCTTGGTAACTAGGTGAACATTCTTAAGATCAATTAAGCATTGCTCAAAGGTTGTTCATAAATTATAGTCTTAATAATTACTATCAACTATTAGTCCAAAAGGTATTATCTCAAATATGATTGATTTGTCATTATAGTATACGAAATAACAATTTACTCTCATTCACATTTTATTGTACTTATATTAAGTTTGGTTGATTATGTATGAATTGAGATCATGAACCGATTGATGTTAGACAACCATTGAAAACCTGGAAGCATTGAACGGCCATTCCGTCTTATTGTGGGACTCCTCAGCTGTGCGCATCTACGATCCCTCTCACAGGATTCGAACCCAGGACCTTCAGTCTTGTGCGCGAATGCTTTACCTACTAGACCATTGAGTTGGCATCCAATAGTGTTAATGTCTAACATCAACCAATCCACGAAATTGTGCGACCATCTTCCGTTGTACCTGTCTCTACACTACACGGATTAGCTCCACTGGTCACGGCTTATCACTTCCCTCACGAAGCTAGTCACTAGTGAGGACATAGTAATTATCAGTATAGGGTTGTCGAGGTTATAGATTGAGATCTTGAACCGATTGATGTTAGACCAACATTGTTGAGGAGTCCCACAATAGGACGAAACGGCCGTCCAGTACTTCCAGGTTTTCAGTGGTCGTCTAGCATCAATCGGTTCAAGATCTTCACAACCCTATAGTGATACGTATGTATAAGCTGAAATACTAGTCGTGCTTTTCTTTGTACTTCAATGATTCTTCAATGGATGTCATTCAATATTGAGAATTTACACTCAAATTATATTTCATTGTTATTTCTTAGTAAACATGTAAACTTCAATATTACTATTCACAATTTTTTGTTGTTTATCTTCTCTTATTAAATCATACTAGCTAATGAAAACTTTACCAGTTATTGAGAAACAATTAGATGCTCTACTTATGTTCGATGTAAGTACAAATGATCTCTAATATTTCTATTACATAATCATGTATATGTATATATATTTTAAATTTCAAGCCATTCCATGATGATGATTATTACTTCATAATAATCTTTTTAGGCTACACTTAATGAATTGTCCAATTCACTTCTTCGAGTTGCTCATTTATCTCTTTATCGAGATTTAATTCGTTTATACGCTGTGTATAATGAGGGTATGATTAATCTAATTGGTAAGTTTTTATTGTTTGTTTTAATGGTAATATTAGTTGGGTATTTTCTTTCTTGTTTAATTAACTGTTTTATTTCAACAGATGAAAGAGTACAATTAGGATTTTCTCTGTTGTGCTACCTTTTTCTTACTGATCAAAGTACTCAATTTCCAAGGAATAGGTTTTAGTTTCGAATGTTGCTGCATCCACTTCGGTTTAAACAAAGTTATACTGCTGACGGTACAGAGGTGTGACAGCAGTAAGATGTTTCCCTCAGCCAACTAGCATAATAGCAATACTGCCTTCCCACAAGGAAGGACGGGATTTGAAAAGGTCGACTCCAAAAAATGCACACCTTGCCTTATCCCACAGATTTCCGTCTCCGGTTGTAAGGTCCCAACAAGTACGGAGCTAACACGAAAATTACTCACAAAAAGGTTGTATGTGACTTGCCTCAAGCAATTGTCCCTTGGACACTGCAGTCACGTTGTCAGGTCGCTAAGACCAACTCTAACCCAATTTCTTTTTCAGGTACCTCCAGACGAACCCTTTTACGGTCTGGGTAATCGGGAATTGAAAACTGTCTTCATATCTCTAATAGTACTCAAAGCCACTTAAGGTTTAAACGGCTAAGTTAGTTGTCAATCAGCTCTCACAAAAATAATGTTAGCGCTCATAGCTAAGTATATGATAAGCCTGTACTTGATTGACGAATTTAACGAATGCTAAATATTGTTCGCACTGGTACGGATCGATGTATATCTAATTGTTTTAAATATCGTGTCATATTATTACCTGTTATATCCCAACGAGAATAATGAATGGTAACTGTTTGGATCTATTTATAGACTATTACTATGCATATAATTTTATTGTATAATTGTTAAGTAAGTAAACTATGTATATTCCTATTATGAGCTTTATTTCGACCTATTATTTCGACTATTATTATACGACTTACCATTCTTATGTTATACCCAGTCTATTAGTGACAGTCTCTCACAATCACAGTCACTTTTTGGCTCGATCTTGTACAGTCGTTATTTTCTATTTTATGGATTGATGTGGTCTGTTTGGCTTGTATATAAACACAGTACGTTTGAAATATACAATTCATATTGCGGAGGCTGCTATTTGTGTTCTGAACTCGATAGGCAGGGCTAGGAAGGAAGAACGAGTGATAAGGACTATAGACTTCTCGTACGAGTTTGTGCGTCATCGGTCCGGTCGATAAGTTACTGTTCTGATTGACGGTATCATTACGTTATATATTAATAGAGCACAAGGCCAAAAGTTATAACGTGATCACTCGTATTTCATACATCCACTAAAGTGTATTTTATACTTTGAAAAATCTTCGTTTACTTACTTTGTTATGAAAAAGAAACTGGATTAGTAGTGGTTTTGGCGACGGGAATGCGTAACTGCATATACCAAGGGAAAACTGCTTCAGACCACTTGCACACGATCTTCTTGTGGGCAGTTTTAAATGAAGGCCTTACTTCCGGGGATGGAAACACATAGAGTATGGTGATATGTAACAGTTTTATGGCTAATCTTTTCTAATCCCTTCCTCTATGAGAAAGCAGCATCAATGCGGATGTTGGTTGTCTGGAGGAAACACTTTACTCCTATAATATCCCAGCATAATCAGTAATACAACTCCGTCTTCGTACCATAGTCTACTGCTTTTTGTCTAACCCGTTCTCCAATTAATCTATCCGGAATGATAGGACCTAAAGGCTCAAGTATTCTAGCCGATATGGCTCGATTAAGTAGTTATGATATGTAAGCTGAAAATATCGAATAAGACGTCAGGAATAAAACATACCTGGCACTGTTTATTGATAGAATCTTAGACTCACATTTGTATCACAGTTTTAACAGATGAAGAAGAATAAAGAATTACTCGTGTATGTTAAAATTATTAAGTGAACATTGCTTGGATTAGACCCTATTTACCAGCCAAAGATGCTCAAATCAGTTAATAATTGTCTGTATGTTTAATCATTCCTACTATTATTGTTACTGTTACTGTAGTGAACGAAACTTAGATGGGGAAAACTCAACTTACTGTTTAGTGCAAAATCACATAGTGGCCTAGTAAAATACGAAAATAATACATGAAATACATACTTTGCACAACCTCCTTCAGTTGTCCTTTACACACTTCATCATTGTTCTAATTCTGTTGTTATTCCAATTGCTCAACATTCCACTTCCGATTGTTGTTGCATACAACTTATATCTACCAATATAAGTATAGCACATACACGACACCACTGCTTCTACTACTTTGAAATTTATCATAATCATTTCACCTCACTAACCTAATATGGTCTAACAACTTGAACCGATGCAAATATACATATTAACTCATTAACAAAGTACACATTCATATATTTGACTGCAAGTCATACTTTAAATTCAAGAGTTTGTGATACTGTAATGAATGAACACCCCCAAATGCCCTGGTACGATCGAGAGTGGGGAGAGTCATCTCTCCCTCTCTGAATGCTCTCACATAGCCACGTGCATACAACCACTACCACGGAAGTCCCACTCACTCGCAGTGGGGTTGTTGTTTGCGAAACTGAGAGGACGAAAAGTAAATGTCCGCCACTTTGACCTGGTTAGTGAACTTGGAGGGTTCACCTTGGGGAGTTGGGAAACCCTGATTCCAAACCACTGGTGCATATGGACTCCAGGATCCTGAGGACGAATCGTTGGTCACCGACTACCGTAAAGCTGCATCTCCTTACGTTACTTCATTGCCTTGTGGATCAGACCTTTAGGTCAAAGACTCCGGGTGTGGTCCCCTAAGAAAATCGCCTACTTTGGTTTGGGCACCCGAGCAGTATTCCAGCCCTCATACAAATCGAATGATTGTTCTTGACATCCTTTATGTTTCTTTCACTTCTAAATTTCTTCAATTCAATATCTGTCGATATAAGTAGCATACACCAAATTACTGTCTGGTTAATCAAATCAAAATATATCGAGTAAGGTTTAAATCTGTCGTTTAGTGTGATTGAAAATCAAGTACTTTTATTATTAAGTCACTGTTCCAATTATCTAAATAATGATTCAAATTAACAATTTAAGCTTATTAAATTGAGTTTATTTTAATTTCATCTTTAATAAATTTATTGTACTTTAGTGTCATACATTTTATTGATGATCAAAAAGTTTCTATGAAAAGTAAACTTAAGAATGAATATAGAGTTGGGTGTGATTAATCACTCTTACTACAAATCAATTGTACGTGTCTACAGTTCTCTGTGTTATCATACAAATGATTCAAATAAATTCATTGGTATTCTTTTTATTCAACTAAGTTGTCCCTACGGAAACTCCCTCACTAACTTAATTGACATACACATACCCTTAGATATTATAATGTGAACCCTTGGTTTTATTGAAACAATGAATCAATCAATGTTAGACGACCATTGAAAACCTGGAAGCACTAGACAGTCGTTTCGATCTATTGCAGGTCTCCTCAGTAGTGCGCATCCATGACCTCGCTCGCGGGATTCGGACCCAGGACCTTCAGTCTTGCGCGCGAATGCTTTACCGACTAGACCACTGAGTCAGTATCCAATAGTGTTAATGTCTAACCTCAACCAACCCACGAAATCGCACGACCATCTTCCATTGTACTGAGTTAGATACCTGTCTCTACCCTACATTGATTAACTCTACTGGTCACTACTTCTTTGTTTTTTTTACTGATTTTACTGCTCAGTTTGTTCTAGCAGATGTCTAAAGGCGGCCTGCTTGAATATTTAGACTACCTTTTTCTCTTACCATCTAGATATTTAAGCAAGTTATCTGTTTTGTTTGTTTTAACACATCATTATGTTTATTAATAACATAATCTATTCAGGCACATTTATGAAAAGTTTACGATCTTTCACTGCGCAAGTTACAAAAAAAGTATAATCAGTGACATCATTATTCACATATGGATTCCTGAACTACTTACATCTAATTAGTGATCACTAATTGGCAAGTTGAACTGTCTTCAATTCCTACTAAGTCTAAACTTATATCGTAATTGTGGTGTAATCGCAATTCATGAATCCTACTTAAATAAATGATTTACAAGACAATCGCTTAGTATTACTTCAAGATTTCAAATATTATCGTCAGAATCGATCAAGCCATCAGAAAAGGAAACCTGTTGAAATACTTTGCGCTGAGAGTTCTATATTATACTAAACATATAATATTGAATAAAAACCATTGATAATAATAATTAATAAGATGAATCCTAAGTAAATGCTTGATGGTAGTCTTAGCATCACTGTACTCAAGGAATTTTTCGCATAACATTCAGTCATTAATATCATTATTATTCCTGAACTAGTCTAAACAATACTTATCCTTTTATTATTTTTATTTGATCACCTAAATATTGGTACAAAAGGGCATTGAATGAATACATATACGCTTCACAAGTCACTTGATTTTTATGTGGGCCAGGATACTTGCTTGGGTACACTGATCGAAGCAAGATACTTATCCTGCTTCATTACATATATATAGTGTCTAAGAAACATGATATTACCGTTCTCCAAACCCTGACTATTTTTAATTGAATCATGATATTCTAATTTTTGTTTGTTGTTTTTTTTTCTTGTGTGTAAAAATAAATCACCTTCCCCCTCCCCTCTTCATATTATTTATTTAATGATATGCACACAGGTCGATATTTCACTATGTCCAAACGAGATTGTCGGGTATCGTTAGAGATTTATAAGAATTTTCTTAAACGTATGGAATCTATGAATACATTTGTTAGAGTTGCTGAGGTAATTAATTCAATGATTCATTGTTGTTGTTGTTGTTTTGGATTACAAGTATTTTGTGATCGTTAATTTGTTATAATTTAAGATTGTTGATCGATATTATGTGCTAGATTATTTACCAATTAAACTTTCATTATTGATCGATTAAGATTTATTTACACATTGATATATTGATCAATCAACACTTATTGATCTTTAAATTCTTTGTTCTTACTTAGTAATTAATCAGATGTAAATAGGCGGGGAGAAACAGATTAGTTCTTTATTGTACTTAATTAAATCATAACTTGAAATTCATAGAATAATGTACTTGAAATGCCCTAACTACACACATGCATACCATTTAATAAGAAGTTATACTTTAACATACAATCATATCATAAGTGATAAAAGGTGGAGTAAATAGTAGATAAGTGATTGACAATAATTAAAGGATATTAAAAATGTATAGTAACAGTTAATAGATTCACTGAAAGCTTACGATAAGGTTAATATAGAGAATTGCACCTATACAATTAGCCACTAATTATACAATAAGAGATATAAATGATAATAATTTGAAAAGTTCACATTTTCCCAATATTCATCCCAAAATAACAATTAGATCATCAATAATAAGTATGTCATTAGAACGATTGTTATCATTTACACAAATACCAAGCAATGTAGCCACTAGTCTAGGTGACTCGACATTGCGTGCACTATGTTGAGATTTAGATGGTGGTTGGAGGTAGTCAGCAGGAAACCGTGGACGAGTGCCAAGTAGCACGAAACCCGGATGCAGGGTTATTTTATTTTCACAAAAGTAATATACAGAACGGATTATTGTGCAGTCAACTGGTTCTCCAGTTTGCACTACAAGTAGTGTAGGTTGACAAAATATATATATTTGAGATTCGTTTCATACCCTCCAGATTCAAAAGGTTTCTTTAAGACTTGTTTACACCAACACCTAAATTAACGATTATATTAGGAATGAATTGGTTTAATTCATCGACCATTTCATATGTTTTGGGAGTTTCATCAGCTCTGTTATTCTAGTTCGTAACAAAATCCCCTAATAGATTCAGAAAGCTTGGTTATATTTTGTCAACCTACACTACTTGTAGTGCAAATTGAAGAACCAGTTGACTGCACAACAATCCGTTCTGTATATTACTTTTGTGAAATGTATGTTGTGAAAATAAAATAACCCTGCATCCGGGTTTCGTGCTACTTGGCACTCGTCCACGGTTTCCTGCTGACTACCTCCAACCACCATCTAGCTTCAACATAGTGCACGCAACGTCGAGTCACCTAGACTAGTGGCCACATCGCAACTTGGTCAATAACATTCGATCTGCACTAAGAAGGACTTGACATACATGACATTGATCACCACCCAATGATCAATTAATTGTGATAAATACATGTATATTGCTAAGTTTACCATTCTCTTGTTCCTGTTTTGTTGCACTACAAATTTGAGACTGTTTATCACTTCAATGAAATTTCTTACTCTGTATTTTCACAGTTCTTAATATGAATACTTTCCTTACAAATATGTTATTAAAATACTTGTAAATCAATATAAACTCATTCGATCTTTTTTTACTTCAGTCTGCTGAACCTGGAGGCACACCCTTATCAATTGATTCAGAAAATAATCCTTTCAAGCCAGTAAGTGTAAATAGAATATCTTTTGTAGTGTAGAATAAACAAGTAACTTAGCGCTTGATCATAACCGCCACACTTGCCCGTGGATAGTACCTACTTAGTTATTCTATGATTTATTTTTATACTACTATCAATTTTGATAGTAGCTAAATACCATAGACATGATAACTGCAATATTGTCAGACGAAAAATGTTTAAACAAAATTAGAACTTCCTCATTTCAATTATTTTGGTATCGTTCTTTTCCTGAAGGAAATTAAAGAATGATTCTTCCCAAGGAGAGTTCATAATTCTAATTACCAAACTTCACATTTTTTTTTATCTTCATGTCAGTCAGTCACTATTAACGTAGAGCATGGTGCAGATATGTGTTGGTTCAAGTTGCCCTATCGTATTAACCACGTCAAGACAAATTAAAAAGAGATCGAAATATTGTTTTTGTAATGAGAAAGAAAACAACTGAATATCTAGAATATAGTTTGAAAACACAGAATGGAAAGGTATTCGCATCGATGCTATCGTGAACAACTCTGAACCATGTCACTCAAAATATCCAACCACTAATCACACATGTCTTCATATCATCCTATCATTCACATGTAACTTAAATAGTCTCATATTGAAGCAAAAATTTAAATTATAGGTCTATGGATCGTTTTACGCAGTTCAACTCAGTTTTGAAAAGTCAAAGTTCATCCATTACCAAAACCTAAACACTATGCAAAAAGTGTGTTACATACCATTGTGTTTATTACTCTATATGTATGTATTGATACATTTTGGAAGGAGCAGTTGTGGTCTTCATGTAACGATGCCCAAACACACATACCTAAATGGTTAAAATAACCGGTGAATTACAATATTTCTAATAAGAGCAATGGACAGGCTAACATCTTCGGCCATTTTTAGACGTTTTGTTGAGACACTTGCCCTAAGTTTGTTTGATATTGGATCAACGTTCGTGGTGTCATATAAGAGTCTCTAGGAGAAAATACTAGGGTTTACTGAAACCTTAAATATCATATGTAAATTCAACCCCCCCCCTTAATGTGTTCAAATATCATTTATTCTCACATTAAATCTACCCTGAGAATATTGATTTATTGTCCTTCTAATTTGTCCAATTTGACATTTTATTTTTCATGTTCAATATGTATGTTCTAATTGTTTGAAATGTATTACGTTAATCACTAGGTCCCTCCATCAGTTTTAGAAGCCCTTGAAGAACATTTAACATACTTAGAAGGTATTAAACAAGTTGAAAAGTAAGTGTTTACTATAATAAATTTTTCTCACAATATATCATTCATTTTGATATGCTATTGGATTATGTAAACTATGTATTCAGTAGGACATATTTAGTCAAATATAAAATTCTTGGTAAAAATCATATCATCATCGTCGTCTTTGGTAGGATCCAGATCTGTGATATTCATTTTGGATAGTCACACAACAATCTGATCGACCAATCTTGACCAGCATCAAACAAATATGAGATTGGGTTACTATTACTCAGTGATCAATAAATGTGTATATATGTAAGCGGATTTTTTTTAATCATTTATATCAGGTAATTTTCGTGATTAAGTCAAGTCCCTAACATCAAAAAGTATTGGATAACTAAAGAGGAGAATTTCCGATTATTTAAAAAGAACATTCTCCGCAGCAACGTTGTAAATAGTATTCTCCAGCCGATCATTGTTCACCAATAATCATAAAGATAAATTATCGCATCTGACCAACTTAATGTGCATTTATCAATTTACCTGCTCATGTGGAGCTAGGTATATAGGTCATCGGATGCGTACTTTATCCAAAACAATTCAAGGACATTGTCCGGTATGACTAAAAAGAGTAGGAAGCGGCTCAATAAGAAGCTCAGTAATTGAACACTTTGTGAACACAGGTCACTCAGTTAAGACAAACTCTGCGTTGAAAATCATCTACAAGGTAAGCAGAAGTCTCCCAAAAACAATTAGATTGCATCTTCTTTACATTGCTGAAGCATTATCCATACATCTGGAAAGACCAGAATTGTGTGTGGAAAAACAATTGGTACAACCCCTTCTTCTACCATGATCCTGATGTCTTATAATTTTTTTTATTTTTAGTTTTTCTCTTCCTTTATACTTTTATTCCTTTACAGCCATCTGCTTCACCCTCCATCTTCCCCTTAAATTTTCTACCTCCAACTGGTTCATTTTGTCTCCACGATCATCCTCATTACATTTAATCTCAATTTCAACATTTATCTTATCATACTGAGCTATCCATTTCCCTATCTATCTTTTGATGAATACTTATGCCATTAACAATCAAACGATTATTAAACTTTCTTTGTTTTTTAAAAGAATTTTTTTAATTTAACCTCACTGTCACACCACGTCTAACAGAAGTTTATTATCAGTATTATTATCACCCAGTAGACACCCAACTTCGAGATCAACAAGCTGGATTCCGTAAGGGTCAGTCGTGCACAGACCGAATTGCGACACTACGGGTCATCGTCGAACAATCAGTTGAGTGGAACTCGTCACTGTACATCAACTTCATTGATTATGAAAAGGCATTTGACAGTGTAGATAGGAAAACGTTATGGAAACTTCTTCGACTCTGTGGAGTTCCTGAGAAGATTGTCAACATTATCCGGAACTCATACGACGGACTACAGTGCAAAATGGTGCATGGAGGACAGCTGACAGATGCATCTCAAGTAAGGACCGGATTCAGACAAAACTGTCTACTCTCTCCCTTCCTCTTTCTTCTGGTGGTCGACTGGATTATGAAGACCTCGATATCTGAGGGAAAACACGGCATACAATGGACAGCTCAAAACCAGTTAGACGATTTGAACTTCATAGATGACCTAGCCCTCCTATCGCATACACACGAATAACTGCAGATAACGAAGGCCAGTGTCGTGGCAGTCTCTGCATCAGTAGGCCTCAACATACACAAGGGGAAAACCAAGGTCCTAAAATTCACAACGAAGAACAGCAATCCAATCACTCTTGATGGCGAAACTCTGGAAGATGCAGAATCCTTCACATACCTGGGAAGCATCATCGATGAACAAGTAGGTTCAGATAGATGCAGATGTAAAGGCGAGGATTAGAAAAGCAAGGACGGAATTCTTACAACTGAAGAACGTATGGAACTCAAAACAGCTTTCAATCAATATCAAAGTCAGAATCTTCAATACGAACGTCAAGGCATTTCTACTGTACGGAGCTGAAACTTGGAGAACTACTAAAACCATCATCAAGAAGGTACAAGTATTTATGAATAGTTGTCTACGCAAAATACTCAACATCCATTGACCGGATACCATCAGCAACAGCTTTTTTTGGGAGAGAGCAAACCAGCTTCCAACTGAAGAGGAAATTAAGAAAAGACGATGGAAATGGATAGGACATACATTACGGAAATCATCAAACTGCATCACGAGGCAAGCCCTAACATGGAATCCTGAAGGGAAGCGGAAAAGAGGAAGGCCAAATAACACATTATGTCGGTATATAGAATCAGATATGAAAAAGATGTATAATAACTGGAAGGGGCTGGAAAGGATTGCCCAGGATAGGGTTGGATGGAGAATGCTGATGAGCGGCCTATGATCCTTCACGAGAAGTAACAGGCGTAAGTAAGTAAGTAAATATAATCATCATGTAAAAATAAGTATATATATTTTCGATTGTACATTTTTGAAAATGAATTCGCCGAAAAGAGAACTCTTCGCTGAATTAATTTTCCTTATTATAAATATTAATTAACAATTAATAAATACAATCTATTATTAATAAAACCATTGTGGGGCCCGTTATTTAATCGTCGTTTAGATCGAACGATATTATCGAAAGAGCTCTCCACTTTAGTGGCCCGTGATCTGACTCCAAGGAGTTTGTAATGATAATTGATATTGAAATATATATGTCGTCTCTCCTCGTATAACAAGGTCAGAATTTAATTCAAGTAGAATGAATAGAATGGGGCTATCCGAAAGCTAGAATAAGGTATATGGGCTTAAAATAATCACCAACACGACATCATAGTGTTCATCTATCATTTCTTTTATTTTCCTTAATATTACAGAAAAATGACTAGTAATATATCTCCAAAACCACAACCAACAACAAATCTATCAATATCCAATAATAATAATAATGATTTCGAATCATTAGATTATTCAACTGGATCAGATAAATTTATCTTAACTCCTACAGAACGTCAACGTATTATTGAAGAAGAACGTGCACGTTTAGAATCATTTGTATCTACTGCAAGACAACATAAATTTTCAGATCATCATCATCAACATGATGATCAAAATAATATAAATATAAATGATATAAATCAACAAAATTATTATTCAATTAAATCAGATAATGATCATTTTCTTGATTTATTATCATTTGATGAATTATCTCAAACAAATACTAAACAACAATTCAATGATTCATTAATATCTATTGGACAAAATTCCATTATAACATCTGAAAAGAATCTACTTGGTTAGTTATTTTTATTATTCATGAATGAAATAAATATCTTTATAAGTTAAATTCAAGAATCAATCTTAGCTAGATCATTGTTGAAAATCTAGAAGTATTGGATGATTGTTTCATCCTAGTATAGGACTCCTCGGTAGTAAGCATCCAAAATCCTGTATTTAGGGCTCGAATCCAAGGACTGTCCAATACTTCCATGTTTTCAATGGTAGTTTAGCTTAGATCGATTCATGAATTCAACTATGAATTCAACACTCTCCCCCCTCGAAATGCTCTCACATGGTCACGCGTATATAGCCTGTGCCAGGTTAGTCCTACTGACTGCATCCTCGTGGCGGGGGTGTTGTTTATGAAATTGAGAGGATGAAAAGTGAATGTTCGGCGCTGCAACCGGGTTGGTGAATATGGAGGATCCAACTAGGAGAGTTGGAAAACCCTGATTCTAAACCAATGGTGTACATTGTCTCAAAGATCCTAAGCAAACAAGTGGCGTATGAACCTATTGTTGGTCACGGACTACCATGGGCCTGCATTTCCGTACGTTGCTCCACTGCCTCGTGGATTAGACCTTTGGGGCAATGGCTTCGGGTTTGGCCCCCTAAGAAAACCACCTGCTTCGGTTTGGGCACCCAGGCAGTATCCAAGCCCTCACACAAATCGGATGATGATTTGTGTGACGCATATTTATTCGGTGCTTCCTTGTACCAATATCTATGCATTCAAATAAATAAATTAATACCAACCTCAGACAATGAATGAATCGCTGCACAAGATCATGGATCGTTTGATGTTAGACATTAAAATCGTTGGATGTTTTTGTAGGTTCTACCATGCCAGGAAGGTCGATTGGAGAACGGTAAGATCAAAAGCAGCAACTCGAGGTCTGAGGGCGAAAGTCGTACTGCTTGACTGCAGAGGGGTGTGACAGCAGTAAGGTGTTCCCCTCGGACAGCCAACATCTGCAGCGATGCTGCGTTCTCACAACGAGGGCAAAGGTTACAGAAGGTCGACCCTAAAAATGTCACACCTCACCTTACCTCACGGATTTCTGTCTCCGGCGGTAAGGCCCTTTAAGGAACGGAGCTAACAAGTTAAAAAATCTCCCACAAAAAGGCTGTGTGCGACCGGCCTCAAGCAGTTGTCCCTTGGGCTCTGTGGTCACGCTCCCAGGTCGTTAAGACCAACACTAATCCAACTTCCTTCCCAGGTGTGGGCAGCCGGGAAGTGACACCAGCCCTCATACCCGTGACTGAGAAAAAGAAGGATTCAATAGGTGTTTTGTTCTGTGCACTGGGTCGTTTAATCATAACTGCGCTGTGCATATTTGTATTTAACTTCCTATGAATTTCTGATATTATCTTTTATCTGTAAAGTTCATTTCTTTAGTCTAGACATCACAATGTAAACCAATCTAATTTGCTAAATATACCACATTATAAGATGTCAAGAGAAAAAGATTGAATAAAATTGAATGCATAAAACCAACTACGTTAATATGACCTCTTTTACACTAGTTACACCTCCAATATTTGTGAAGTAACGTCAATTGACCTGTTATCTAAAATACATCACTTTTTTCTTTTCATGAACTTTTTACATTCAAATAGAAAATAGATAAATACCGACTATGTTTTCGGTGTTTACATTGAAAGTTAATCAAATAACTTCATTCATTTTAATCTGTATTCTTTCAACAAGTGTAAATCGTTTATATTCGACAAATTTTTTTTTCAAAAAATGCATTCTCAGAGTTGTTTCTGTACCCCTTAAACTTATCAGATGACATAAGGTTAGTAAATGGATTTAAGGGATAAACAGTTGACTCTATTATTATATTTTGACGCAAACGTGAATAGAATTGATTACAACCAGAATTGTTCGATTACATTACGTCCATTCAAATGGGGTGCCCCCAAATGACCTGGACCCGCCCTCCCTCTTGAAATGCTCTCACACGGCCACGCGTATACAGCCTCTGTCAGGGAAGTCCTACTCACTGCTTTCTCGTGGCGGGGGTGTTGTTTACGTAATTGAGAGGACGAAAAGCGAATGTCTGGCGCTTTAGACGGATTTCAAACCAATGGTGCACATGGGCTCCAGTATCCTGAGGAGACAAATGGCGTATGAACCAATTGTTGGTCATCGGCTACCATGGGACTGCATCTCCTCACGATGCTCCACTGCCTTGTGGGTCAGACCTTTAGATCAAAGGTTCGGGGTGTGCCTACCCAAGAAAACCACCTGCTTCGGTTTGGGCACCCGTGTAGTATCCCATCCCTCACACAAATCGAATGATTCATGCGGCGCATATGTATTTGGTGCCTCCTTGTATCAATATCTTTGTGTTAAAATAAATAAATAAATAAAAATTCAGGTGGGTTGATAACTTTCCAATAAGCTCTCACAATTAGATATTTCTTATGTTTTCTCTTCACAATCAAACATTATGATAGGACCTGTTGATTGACCGTGCCTTCAGTTCAAGAAAACTGTTTATTGTTGTTTTTTCATTTAGACACAAACCTTGACACAAAGGAGCACCAAAATATATATGTTCTACACAAAGTAATTATCATTCAAGCCTCTGACCTAAAGGTCTGACCCACAAGGTAGTGGAACAACGTTCAGAGATGCAGTCCCATGGCAACCGGTAACCAAGACTAGGTTTGTGCGTCATTTGTTCCCTCAGGACCCTGGTAACCATGTGCACCGTTAGTTTGGAATCAGGGTTTTCCAACTCCCCTAGATGGTGGTGTGGCAACTCGAACTGATGTACGTACGTACGAAGTTCTACGTTGTTACTGACTGACTGACTGACTGAACTCCCCTAGATGAATCTTCCGTACCCAACAATTCGGTTAAAGCACAGGACATTTGCTTTTCGTTCTCTCAATTTCGTAAACAATACCACAATGGCGAGAAGACAGTAAGTAGGAATTCCCTGACAATGTCTATATACTCGTGGCCATGTGAAAGCATTTCGAGATAAATAGTGAGCCGTCTCCAACGTCAGTTGTGCCAGGACATTTAGAAGCTAATGGTAAATACTGCCTTTTGTCTGACACTGATAATCATTACACAGTATGTACATGTGAGTTCCTAGCTAGTGTAGGCCAATTACTACTACATCAGTATATCTAAAGTTTTTCAAAAATTCTTTAATAAGCTAAGATGTTTCCATCATTCATAATCCATGACAGCAAATTTGTGCTAACCGTAACATGTGTTACGTCTTGTTGGCTGTTACTTTCCTCCGATTTGTAATGCTTTCTAGAGTGTCCAATTTTAAGTTAGAAGACCAAAGACGGTCGCACCAAGTGTATGTCCAGAAAGAACTGTCTTCTACTTTTCCTCATGTTTTGAAAAATATAAATTCGTGTAGTGAGTCGTTTAATTTTCTCGTAATTATTTTATTATTTTTGTTTGTTATAGATTTTAATGATGTTCCAACTAATTCACTACCATTCGGGTCGAATATAAGTTCACCATTACTTCTCTCTGCTCAGTCAACTTCAACTCTAGTTCCTGTAGCGATATCCCCTGGTCAGTTGCGTTCTACAAATCCATTTTTATTCAATACTCATCCTCAATTATCGATTACATCCAAAGACTTCATGTTGAATCAGCGAGTTTCTGCTAATCCAACTTCCACATCTCCACAAATGCAGCCTAATTGTGAGTTTGACGTACATGACTATTGTTTTCATATATATCTGTCCAAAGGTTTGTTATGTCGAGGAAAAACAGATTATTTGAGTTCTGTTAGATTCCGTATGATCAGGTCATATTGACAGGAGAGTAGTTATGTGGTCTCTGTCTTTCGAGTCCGATTATCGATTATTTCACTAATATAGCCAATGGGACCGGTGATCTACTTGTCAACTGATAAATCAGCCAATGAACAAGAATCAAAACCTTAACACTTACTGGTCCTTGAGCTTCTTCCAAAAAAAGTGAGCAATCAGAAGACTAAATAGTGAGCAGATTAGTTCTTTATAGTACTCAATTAAATCATGACTCAAAACTCATGCATTAACATGTTTGAAGTTTCTGATCATACAGCAACACAGTTAAAGAGTTGCAACAGTACAAATGTCTACTAATTATACAATTGAAGCATAAATAATAATCCTTTCTATAATAGTTTCAGAAGTTATACATCCACACTTTCATCCCGTTATATCAGTTTAGGCCGCCAGTGTTTAACTCATGAAGCATAGGTTCGAGCCCAGTTTATCCACCTAATAAGGTTTGATTGAATACGGAGTACCGTTAGGTTTAAGATAATCCACTATATGATCAAGTGATTATTATAGAATCTTCACGGCTTAAATCACGAATTGATCTTAGTTTGATCACTACTGAAAACCTGAAAGCATTAGACGACCTCTTTGTCCTAATATGGGATTCAACGGTTTTAATGTCTAACAATCAATCCATGATATTGCGCAACCCTACATCTATTGCCTGGGGTAAATAGCTGTTTCACACCCGCCGACTTAATGAATTGAATGTTAAACGTTCTTGCGTGAAGCTGAAGTCCTGAGTTTGACTCCCGCATTCAAGATCGTGGATGCAAATCAACCTCTTAGATCAGTCTACTTCTCGAATGAATTTCATTTTGAATTTGTCTCTATTTTATTGATTGATCTACTTATGTAATGTTCATTGTAAGTTCTTTTCTTTCTTACAATCAGCTTTATTATCAATTTTTCTCTGTAATCAGTAACTATGTTTAATTCTAAGTCTTATCATTTATGTTATCAGCCTTGAATAGATTAGTTAAATATGAGTACAGAAAACAGTTTTACATGTCCGATTAATTCTATGCGCTTTTAACCATACAAATCCGCTAACAAAACATCAATGCGAACTTGAAGTGTGTGTGTGTGTATGTATGTGCGTATGTGTACATATATATAGGCGATGTTTCTGGTTCATTATATTGTGTACAATTGACCATAATCATCGCCCTTCACCTTTAATACATATAAATCATGTACACAGATTTGTAGTTATTCATTAAATTCATTAAATAATGTATATTCTATTTATTATTTATTATTATCACTGGACCATATGATATAATAGATAAATATCCTTATTGATGGTTCATATTAGATAATTTTATAATTGTAATTAACTTTCATTGTTTATTCATTATATGTGATATTTGATTGTACAAATTATAAACTAGACTTAATATTAAAATGAGTTTTGTGGAGAATTTAGGAAATTTCACAGGTTGAAATCATGAGTTAATTGAAGCTAGACCACCATGGAAAACCTGGAAACACTGGACGGCCGTTTCGTCCTAGTATGGGACTCCTCAGCAGTGCGCATCCACGATCCCGCACCACGCGGGGCTCGAACCCAGGTTTTCCATGGTGGTCTAGCTTCAGTTGACTCATGATTTCAACCTGTGAAATAGACTTAATATTCTTCATTATCAATCAAGTAAACAAAATTCACTTGGTATTGTTTGCTTGAATTTTCCCATTGATGTTTAGGGACTGAAATTGATTAATCCCTTGTTGACATATGTGCATATTGTGTGAGGATTGCCTCGATATAGCCTTAATTCATAAAGATTATATGCAAAGATAGATAATGGCTAGCAGTGGAATCCACGATAAAGCGCGTTTCGTTCTATTTGGGACTCGTCACCTGAATGTATCTGCACCTCAGAGTTGATGTTCACTTCGTGGCTCAAACTCAATACTGTCCGCTTCAGAGTTACAAATTCATTTTATCAATTTATGTCAATAACTACAGAGTCATTTAAATCTCTATACTAAACATTGTATATGTTACGTTCTATGGACCTGTTAAAATATCCCGTGAGTAAATCATCAACTAGAATACCGACCTATACGGTCTTGGCACGTTGCCAGATCAATGACGCGTTAACCAGTACAAGAAGCCTAGAGTCAACTCTGAGTCCTTACTGGTTCTTCTCGTCTAGTTTTGACCACTTGAGTCCAAAACACAACCTCAACTTCCTCTGTATGAATCATATATTTCAGATATACTCAGTTTATATACAAGCAAATCAGACCGCATCATATCATAAAATAGAAAGTAACAATTATACAAGATCAAATCCAAAAGTGGTTGTGATTATGAGAGTTTGTAACTAATAAATTGAGAATAGTAAATCATAGAACAGTAGCTAATAGGTCAAATAAAAGCTTATGATTAAAGAAATATGAATATACATATAATATATTTACTTAATAGTTATCCAATAAGAATGCATATATAATATTAATCGATTAATGGTTCTCAGAAGTTACCATTCATTTACTCTTCTTTAGGATATGACAATATACTGTCATGTTCGATGTATTTAATTCAGTCAATGTATTGTAAACTTGACTAATCGATCAATTCAACTAGATCGAAAAACAACTAAAAAACATCAAATTCTAGATGTTATCCGTTTCTCTAAATGTTGCTTTAAAACTAACGATAAGCAGCGAAGTAGTTGGGCGCGTTGACCGCCTCACTTCAAATGTTTCATCAACTCTGGTGAATTAGTGTTTGGAGAAATCGCTACACAAAATGTATGTTTCCCAACGAACATAACAGTCTTCTCTGTATTACTTCAAGGCTATGAAACATAATTCTCAAAAGCATAGGACATTCGTCTGTTACTATTACTCGATCATAGTTGTCTTTGGTGTATTACTCACATATGTTGGGGCCACCAAATGAGCAATGCTGAGATCAGATGTAGGTTTGTAGACAGAGATGGTAAATCGGTTCGCAATTGTAACAGCGTGACCCTTAGTCGACTAAGGTGGCTAGTGCATGTGTTACTTATTCCTAACCGCCTATCTCGATGAGCAGTTATGAGTGAGTTAGGATACAATTAATTACGGTTAAACCAAAACATGGGATCAGTTCATGAAATGATTGGCACTTGAACTGATTATCATAGCCAATGGTTGAAAACTTTGGATGACATATAGCTTCATCATTCACAATGGCGTAGATGTTTTTACTCTGTCTTCTCTTACATCTTGAGTTTCAACTCAATTTAAAATGGTTTGGATTATCCCGTTGTCAAAATTGAATTAAATCTCACACCGGTTGAATAGGTACCGCCTATCTGAACTTAGTAGCTAAGTGAATGACATGATTGCGTTTGAAGCAAACGGTTCTATTAGGTTCGAGTCCCGTAGTGAACATCAACTCTGGGATGCAGGTTCATCCGACTGATGAGTCCCAAATAACACGAAACACACGTCCTAGATCCCACTGCCAATCCCACTCTATCTGTTCTAAACCAACTTTATTTTTCACCTTCTATTCCACAAATTTATTACTTCTTTCTAATCATATTGTTTATGCCTGATCTTTCCCACTACCGTTAATACTACTACTCCACGTTTGGTATTCATTTGGTTGCAGTAACTTGAAACGATGTCCACATGCACCAGGTTCTATGGTGATTTAGCTGTGACCTGCTGATTCACTATAATCTGATAAGATTTTACTCTTTTCATCTTTGTTAATACTAGTAATAACGTAACTAGTGTTATTGTTTGTTTTAAACATAAAATCAGACGAAAATCACACCTTTTAATTTGTTTACTAGTTCTCATTGTTGTTTTTTTCATTTTCTCTCTTTTCGTTTACTCCTAAAGCACTTAATAATATGAATCAAAACAACATGTTAATAGATTTTCACTCAGTTTTTAACAATCAGTACATTTCAACAAATACGGGTAATATTTCTGTTTGACATGTTTGACGTCTTCTAGGAAAGGTCTGTTAAAGTTTACCTACTATAGTCTGATCTATACGTACGTACATACAGATATATATATATATATATATATATATATATATATTCTGCTTCAACTATTGTTTATTTCACTAGTTGAAACCATGAGTCGATTGAAGCTTGACCAACATCGAAAACCTGAAGGCACTGGACGGCCGTTTCGTCCTAGTATGGGACTTCTCAGCAGTGCTCATCCACGATCCCGCCCTCCACGAGATTCGAACCCAGGACCTATCAGTCTCGCGCGCGAGCGCTTAGCCATTAGACCACTGAGCCACAAGACCGCTTTCTGGTTGGCATTTTTTAGAGAGTTAATTTTCTACGGGATGGGGTCGCTAGCCCCATGCGCAACCTTTCTTCTTCATACAGGCTTGGGACCGGCAGTAGCCCACGGAGGGACTCCAGGCGGAGTTCACAAAACCCTTTCTGATAATATTGTTTATTTGCTTAAATCTGGTGATTATTTTATAGATCATAATAGAGAGGAATTCTAGTTTTTCAAGTTGAACAGTGAACAATAGTAGAATATAGGACTAGTATTTTATTGTATTTCGGATGACCTGTCGGCTGTGAATGTGCTTGCATATTTTGTGTTGAATTTCACATTGAAACTCCAACCGAGTACATTTTACTATAAAATATATCCAATGTGTTCACATTAAATCCAGATGACAAATATGAACCTTTTTCAATTTAAGAGGTTAAGCGTTCTTGCGCAAGACCGAAGGTCCTTGGCCGAGTCCCACATATGGGATCGTGGATGTGCACTTCTGAGAAGTCCTAAACTAGGATGAAATGGTTGTTCAGTACTTCCAGATTTTTAATGGTGGTCTGTTTTAGATCGACTCATGAAGTCAACTATTAACATCATTACAATCTTCATAAATCTCCGTTCTTAAGATTTATTCTATGTCTAAGTAATTCAATTTCAGTTACGATGTTGTCACGACATTAAGTCAACAACAATCAGTGTTTAGAAAACATACGTTAATCTCTAACTAATAAAGTCTTGACTGTACTCACAGATTTATTACACATCAATAATAATGATAATGATTTACAGTTAAGTGCAATAAAATTACATGTGTGTATTAACTCTCTTGATAACATCACCTTATAGCATTTACGGTTAATTTACTACTTTTTTAAGTAGTCTATTTTCATTTAGATTTGAACACTCGGATTAATCATTTCAAGGCGCAAAATCAATAAAACTAGTTTTTATTCTACGGTGTAGTTTTGATTGTTTGATTTAAAATTTCACATCATGGACTGACTTGAGTCGGATAACCATTGGAAATCAGAAATCATAAGACCACCGTCTTGTTCTAGTACCAGGACTCTTCAATGGTCTACATCCATGATCCTATTAGTGATAGAAATCAGCATCTTCAGACTTCATGGAGTTCTAGTAAAAACCTGTGATTCGTGCAGTTCAATTGTGTCAGGTATAAGACAAATATTACCAACAGAAATTCACATTGACCCCACAATATTGAAAATCAATTAAAGTGAGAAATGTGAACGATATAATACTAACTATAAGTAGTCTTGAAGTCTTGACTTTGATCCCTAATGGAGTCATAGATGCGCACTACTGATGAATCCTATATCAGAAAGAAACGTATCCAATGCTTGCTAATGTCCACTGGTTGTCTAACTTAAGTCAGTCCTTTATGTAGAATGCAAGAGTAACTTTTTATACATCTTCTTAGTTACCATTTAATTAACTGTATTTTTTATTAAGTCTACATAAATATGTACTTTTGTTAGTGTATTGACATATCGATCAGTTGTTTTGTTTTTGTTGGAGAGATCCAGAATATTTCTCGAAAAAAGCCCAGGAGAATCCTGAAAACTCTAGAAAACATTCTATCCAATCAACATTGAATAGAAGCATTTTAGAAACATCTAGAAAGTGAAGAGTCACGTGTCACATTTCTGATAGGATGATTAGCTATCCTGCTACTGTGTTTAGTAAGGTTTCAGAAATACAAAGCCACCTGAAATGCTATAAATATCCTCGATTTTCTGTACATAAACGAAGCTTGGAGTCTAACTTCAATCGTTCCACTACATTACGCAACCATCTTCCATCGTCTTCGGTAGGTGCTTTCCTGAGATTGAAGGCTCTCGGTCTGATTCTCGTGTACACAGGGTCGTGTTCGCACACCACTATAGAGTCCCATAATAGAACGAAATATCCATTCCGCCTTTTCAGGTTGTGTAACTTCGATCAATTTGTAATTTCAATTTAATTCAACTGCCTCAATAACCTCATATCGATTAAAACAATTTTCCGAGTAGACATTAAAACACTATAACTCAATTAATATCAAATTCTTCCAAAGAAAAAACTAACCACCACTCTTTACAACCCCATTAATGTTGACATTTGACAGAAAAAAAGAGATTGAAAACAAAATGATTTTTGTTACAACAATCATGTAAAACTTGAAGTTTGTGAGGGAATTCTCGGAGTTCTAGTAAGAGGCCGTGACCGGTGGAGCTAATCTATGTCAGGTAGAGACAAATATCTACCTCAGTACAGTGAAAAATAGTCGTGCAGTTTCGTGAATTGGTTGAGGTTAAACATTAGCACCGTTGAATGTTGACCAGCTCAGTGGACTAGGGGTTCAATGTTAGCGCGCGAGACCGAAGTTCGTGGGTTTGAACCTGAAGTCCCACAACAGAACGAAACGGCCGTCCAATGCTTCTAGGTCTTCAATGGTAGTTTAACATCAATCGGTTTTTTAAATGTTTAACTTTTCCAGCAAAATAATATAATAATGGCTTATTATTGTTATGTTCACAAAAATATCATCTTTTATTTACATACATTGTTAAGATCGATAATACAGTTTAGATCTGAGGTGAATAAATAAACTAAGAGATAAATTTCGTTTTTACACTTAATCTTTCTTTATTCATGTTACTTTGCTTTGTTGGGCGGTTGCCTCAAACTGGTAACGATGTAAACTCTGCCTATGGTACAAATCCAATCTGCTATTTGAGTAGAAAAAAACTGAGAATGATTAGAAAGTTTTTATTGACAAAATCGAATAGAAATATATGCACAAACTCATTCAAAAGAATATATTTGTTTCTCTTAGATAATCAGGTCAAACCTTGACCATAAGTTGCATGCGTTCGTCAGTATCTTTTATCTATCATTTGACCCTGAACTGATATATCTAGTTGACCCAGTCTATCTTTACCTATAAGTCATGTGTTATCGATTCTGACCAATTTGACTTACGTTATATGAACACGTTTAAATGCTCTCTATTAGAAATGCTCTTTATTTAAACTATTTACAATCCTGTTAGCCGTAGTATTTAAACTAGCACAAGTCGGATTCTCTCTTTACCTGATTTAGGAACTAGTTGATACTCCTCAACAGGCAAACCTGCAGTCTCCATGTGCAATCCGAACATAGGTCACCAAAATTCACTGTTTAAAATGTTACTGCTCAGTTGTTCTACCAGAGGCTGGCCTTCTGTGGGAACTGAGAAGTTCAAAGCTGACGGATCACTTAGCAGATCGTTGGTAGTAGTTAGATTATTTTAACGAACACATAAATTGTGATACATCAGGTTGAATGGCCGAAAATGTATTATAGTAATTTGATTCCCTCTAAGTCACGAACTGATCAAAGTTTAATATGTAAACTTTTGTATGGTAGCTCAGTGGTCTAAAAATCAAGCTCTTCCCGTAAGGCCTGAAGATCCCAAGTTCGATCGTGAGATTAGAGATGCACATTGTTGAAGAGTGAACAAACCAATCACTCTTGATGGCGAAACTCTGGAAAATGTAGAGTCCTTCACATACCTAGGAAGCATCATCGATGAACAAGGAGGTTCAGATGCAGACGTAAAGGCAAGGATTGGCAAAGCAAGGACAGCATTCTTACAGTTAAAGAACATATGGAACTCAAAACACCTTTCAACCAATATCAAAGTGAGAATCTTCAATACCAACGTCAAGGCAGTTCTACTGTATGGAGCTGAAACTTGGAGAACTACAACAACCACCATCAAGAAGGTACAAGTATTTATAAATAGCTGTCTTCGCAAGATACTCAACATCCATTGGCCGGACACCATCAGCAACAGCCTTTTGTGGGAGAGAACAAATCAGCTTCCAGCTGAAGAAGAAATTAGGAAAAGACGATGGAAATGGATAGGACATACATTACGCAAATCATCAAACTGCATCACGAGGCAAGCGCTAAATTGGAATCCTGAAGGGAAGCGAAAAAGAGGAAGGCCAAAGAACACATTGCGTCGGATAATAGAAGCAGATATGAAAACGATGAATTACGACTGGACGGAGCTAGAAAGGATCGCCCAGGACAGAGTTGGATGGAGAATGCTGGTGAGCGGCCTATGCTCCTTCATGAGGAGTAACAGGCGTAAGTAAGTAAGTAATTGTTGAAGAGTAGTCCCATGATAGGACGAAACAACTATCCAACCCTTCCTAGTTTTCAATGGTTGTTTAATCACAGTATACAACTATAAAAATTCACCCATTCTTCACAAACCTCCTACACTTAATAATTTAAATATTTTCGACATGTAGAGTATTCAAGCCAGAATAGTTTCTGTTCCCGACGTATTGTTGTCGAATAAACAAGATGATTGTATTACTTGCTCTGTCTTTCCCACTTGGAATTATTTACTATTCAGTGGAACTGGTATGAAAGGATTGTTGTTTTCTTTATATTCTAAATGATTCTAATCACTAAGTTTCAGCGCCCTTGAATACCCTGGTACGGCCAAGAGTAGGATGAGTTAGCTCTTCCTCTCGAAATGCTCTCACATGGCCACGCGTATATAGCCTCTGCCAGAGAAGTCCTACTCACTGCCTTCTCGCGGCATCTTTGTTGTTTACGAAATTGGCACGACGAAAAGCGAATGTCCGGCACTTTAACCGGGTCGGTGGACACGGAGAGTTCACCTAAGGGAGTTGAAAAACCCTGATTCCAAACCAATGGTACACATGGGCTCCAGTATCCTGAAAGAACCAATGGCGTATGAACCAATCGTTGGTCATTGGCTATTATGGAACTGCATTTCCTGACGTTGCTCCACTACCTTGTGGATCGGATCTTTAGGTCGAAGGCTCCGGGTGTAGTCAACTAAGAAAACCATCTGCTTCTGTTTGGCCACCCGGGCAGTATCACAGTCCTCACACATATCAAATGAGATTTATGTGGTGTATATGTATCTGGTGCCCTCTGCTACCAATATCTATATGTTCAAATAAACAATAAAATTAAGTTTTAGTGTTTGAATACATTCATAAGTGTTAGATATCTTACTATCGTTTTGTTTATTCATAAAATGTTTATATCGTTCATTAGTAATTGCTGATCACTGATAAATCAATAAATATTCTTATAATATGAACTGATTCTCTGATTATTCTCCCTACTTTAGTTACATTCATTAAATTATACCTGTCGGCGTTGATCTAAACAACGAAATTTTAACTCACCGGTTTCATACATAACTAATCAGATTGTTGAATTGTGTTTTTTTTTTCTTTTGCATCATTATGAATATTTTTGACTTTTTAATTCAAGCATCTAATTTGTCATACTTTTCATTTACTCTACATCATTATTTTGATCACCTTAATCAATCGTGCATAGTGTATACTCTATTTCTTACCCTCAGCATTACGTAATCATTATTCTACCCGATGTCATTGCATCCGTCTGCTAACGCAAACAAATGTCTTATATTTGTTTTGTTTTGTTTTTTTGTACAGCGAATACTGTTCCGTCAAAATCATTAATTTCATTAGACGATAAAATTGCTCAAATAGCTGGAAATTTGTCTATTTGTGACAGTTATTCATCCACACAAGCTGGTCGTATTTATCGTGCTCCCGATGGAAGCTTATCTACAATCAATTGGTCTGGAACTATGCCATGTGTTCAAGTTTCAACAGTATCCAATCAACAAATGTCACAAGTTTCAACTATTCATCAATCACCTTCTTTGAATCAAATAATAGGTCCAGTTAGTACTAATCATCAACCAACTGCTTCGATTCCATTGAATCCGACTAATCCATGGGCTGCATCAGCTCAGTCTAATGTGAGTTCATTCTCAAGTCAGTGCGCTTTTAATCTTAAATAAATTTGATATTTGTGTAACTCAATTCAGGAGCTGGGTATTTTAATGTGTTAATTAAGTTTGTCTAGCATTTGAATCCAAGCATTATCAGTGAACAGTAGTTTCTAGTTTTTTATTATTATTTACCTGTTACCTCACGTAACTCGTATGTTTGGTGTAATTTTTAATCATTTTCTGTTTTATTTACTTCACGATGTCAACTTCCACTTTGTTAGTAGTTAAAAGGTAATAGTATTTCTTCTTGACCGTCATCAACTAACTATCTTCCATCTCTCTGTTTTCAATATTGTCCATGTTCCATCTTACTTGGGAGATCTAGTGGTCCTTCTGGAACAGATTCCGTGTTTTAAAGGTTTACCAGCCCACCATGTGAATGTGATTTTGTGGGGACCGCGACTCATTGGTCTTTGCATACATAATGGTATCACACCGAAGAACAACTAAAAAAGTTCGCAATTTTACTTACCCTGCATATGTATAATCTACTTGCATACTAGTTAACACACAAACTTTTATACGAGTATCATTTGGCATACATGCAGGTTTATCTACCCTGTGAGCCAATATACGTAACATGCACACCGGTGACACACATATTTTATCCCATGCATCCCGTAGAATACTAGTAGTTGTATTCACCTACCTGGGAGGGTAGATGTTCACCGTTCGCTTTGAAACATATTTTCTACAACAGAATGTCTCTTACACATTACATCCATATCATTCAGTGAATAGATACCACCCCTGTACTTCCTGACACACACAAGCATAAGCACTCTCTCGAGGGAGGTTGTTAGTCGCCTCACGCTAGTACTTGATACCACCTATTATTATTATGTCTTCGACCTGATGGATAGGCCGCTGATTTTGTTAGAAATAGGGCAGACATTTTGCAACTAATGTTTCCTTTGTACGACACCAAACGTATACCTCTTGCATATACATACATGAACTACATAGGCTTGAGGACTTCTGAAATCCTTATTCATAAGCATATGCATCAAATAGCTTGTTACAGTTAAGTGGGCCTCGAGTTGGAATCCGAGTTAATCAATCACTAGTCCGATCTCCATCGACTGTCTAATTTAGCTACCAGGGTTGCCCCCACTATCCAGCAGCGCTGTGAGATCTTGGGTCGCATTTTGCTTCATTCTCTATAATGAAGGCCCTAATTCAATTATTTACTAAATAGTTATAAAACAGCATTATTAGTCAGTGGTTATCGTAATGTGTTTAGTGCTCTGATACGGTTGAAATTTAAGAGATTCTCCTCTTCCTCTCGAAATATTTTCACATAGCCTACAAGTAATATAGACATTGTCAGGGAATTCCTACTTATTATTTTCTTGTTGCGGTTGTATTATTTACAAAATTGAAAAGATCCATTTAGAGAAGTTGGATAAACTTTAATTTCGAGATTATATCTTCTCTTTTAGAATAACTCACGTCACGTACGTACGTCACGTACGCCTGTTACTCCTCGTGAAGGAGCATAGGCCGCTCACCAGCATTCTCCATCCAACCCTGTCCTAGGCAATCCTTTCTAGCTCCGTCCAGTTGTAATTCATCGTTTTCATATCTGCTTCTATTATCCGACGCAATGTGTTCTTTGGCCTTCCTCTTTTTCGCTTCCCTTCAGGATTCCAAGTTAGGGCTTGCCTCGTGATGCAGTTTGACGATTTGCGTAATGTATGTCCTATCCATTTCCATCGTCTTTTCCTAATTTCTTCTTCAGCTGGAAGTTGGTTTGTTCTCTCCCACAGAAGGCTATTGCTGATGGTATCCGGCCAATGGATGTTGAGTATCTTGCGTAGACAGCTATTTATAAATACTTGTACCTTCTTGATGGTGGTTGTTGTAGTTCTCCAAGTTTCAGCTCCATACAGTAGAACTGCTTTGACGTTGGTATTGAAGATTCTCACTTTGATATTGGTTGAAAGTTGTTTTGAGTTCCATATGTTCTTTAACTGTAGGAATGCTGTCCTTGCTTTGCCAATCCTTGCCTTTACGTCTGCATCTGAACCTCCTTGTTCATCGATGATGCTTCCCAGGTATGTGAAGGATTCTACATCTTCCAGAGTTTCGCCATCAAGAGTGATTTGATTGTTGTTTTCCGCTTTGAATTTGAGGACTTTGGTTTTCCCTTTGTGTATACTGAGGCCTACTGATGCAGAGACTGCTGCTACACTGGCTGTCTTCATCTGCATCTGTTCGTGTGTATGCGATAAGAGGGCTAGGTCATCTGCGAAGTCCAAATCGTCTAATTGATTTTGAGCTGTCCATTGTATTCCGTGTTTTCCTTCAGATGTCGAAGTCTTCATAATCCAGTCGACCACCAGAAGAAAGAGGAAGGGAGAGAGTAAACAGCCTTGTCTGACTCCGGTCCTTACTTGGAATGCATCAGTCAGCTGTCCTCCATGCACGACTTTACACTGTAGTCCGTCGTATGAGTTCCGGATAATGTTGACAATCTTCTCAGGAACTCCATAGAGTCGAAGAAGTTTCCATAATGTCCTCCTATCTACACTGTCGAATGCTTTTTCATAATCAATGAAGTTGATGTATAGTGATGAGTTCCACTCAACTGATTGTTCGACGATGATCCGTAGTGTTGCAATTTGGTCTGTGCATGATCGATCCTTACGGAATCCAGCTTGTTGATCTCGAAGTTGGGCGTCTACTGCATCTTTCATCCGGTTCAGCAACACTCTGTTGAAGACCTTCCCTGGTATTGACAGCAGTGTAATGCCTCTATAGTTTTCACATTTGCTCAGATCTCCTTTCTTTGGAATCTTGACGAGGTGCCCTTCTTTCCAGTCCATCGGCACTTGTTCCTCTTCCCAAATCTTTTTGAATAGAAGCTGAAGCATGTTTGTAGTTGCTTCGATGTCTGACTTCAGTGCTTCAGCTGGTATGTTGTCCGGACCCGCTGCTTTCCCGTTCTTGATTTGTCTGACGACCATTCTGATTTCTTCCTTCGTTGGTGGGTCGACGTCTATGGGAAGATCTGTGTGTGCCGCTTCGATGTCCGGTGGATTCATAGGAGCCGGCCTATTCAGGAGTTCCTCGAAGTATTCTACCCATCTGTTCCGCTGTTGTTGAATTTCGGTGATTGGCTTGCCTTCTTTGTCTTTGACCGGTCTCTCTGGTTTACTGTATTTCCCTGATAGTTTCTTCGTTGTATCGTAAAGCTGTTTCATATTTCCTTCTCTAGCAGCTTTTTCTGCTGTCGTTGCTAGTTCTTCCACGTATTTCTTCTTGTCGGCTCTAATACTCCTCTTCACTTGTTTGTTTGCTTCTATGTATTCAGCTTGTGCTTGGACTTTCTCTGCTCGTGTTCGGCTGTTGTTTATTGCTGCCTTCTTTTTCTTCCTCTCTTTGATCTTGTCCAGTGTTTCTGTAGAGATCCACTCCTTATGATGGTATTTCTTTAGACCCAGAACCTCTTGACACGTTAAAGTTAATGCTTCCTTGATGCCTTTCCAGTTGTCCTCCATACTAGTTTCTTCTTCTTTCAGTAGATCTTGTAAGGCTTGGAACCTGTTGTTGAGAGCAATCTTGAATTTATTGAGTTTGTCAGTATCTCGAAGGAAGGCTGTATTGAACCTTTGTAGTGCTGTTTGTCCACCTGTCCAGTTCTTTTTTAGCTTCAGTTTTAAATTGGCCACAACTAGGTGGTGATCTGAAGCTACGTCAGCGCCTCTCCTGGTTCTCACATCTTCCATTGTCCTTCGGAATTTTTTGTTGATGCAAATATGATCTATTTGGTTCTCTGTAGTGTGGTCCGGTGAGATCCATGTAGCCTTGTGTATACGCTTGTGTGGAAATATTGTGCCTCCTATGACCAATTTGTTGAATGCACATAGATTTGCAAATCTTTCTCCATTTTCGTTTCTTTCTCCCAGTCCATGTCGTCCCATAATATCTTCATATCCGGTGTTGTCTATTCCGACTTTGGCATTTAGATCTCCCATCAGAATAGTTAGGTCCTTTCTTGGGCATTTCTCAATGACTGACTGCAGCCGCTCGTAGAACTGATCTTTAATGTCGTCGTTGCTATCATTTGTGGGTGCATAACATTGGATAATATTCATTAAGATCCCCTCCTTCTTTGTCTTGAATGATGCTTTGATGATTCTGGATCCGTGAGATTCCCATCCTACAAATGAATTTCGTGCTACTTTGGACAGCATAAGAGCGACTCCTTGAGTGTGTGGAGCATTGTCCTCTTCGTGACCGGAGTATAGCAGCATCTCTCCCGTAGCTAGCCTTTTCTGTCCAGCTTGGGTCCAGTGGGTTTCGCTGATTCCCAGTACTGCTAAGTTGTATCTCCTCATTTCCATTGCTATTTGACTGGTATTCCCGGTTTCCCACATTGTTCGAACGTTCCATGTACCTATAAAAATTTTTGCTCTGGTTGTTAGAAGGGGCATCGGCCTCGTGGCTTCCGAAGGAACTCGGCTTTCACCATGAAGCGTCATAATTCTTCTAAATGAAGACCTTCTAACTCCCAGGGCAGAGTTTAAATGGTTTGGATTATTTTTTCTGGTAAGCGTTTTTTTAGCGAGTTAGTTTTCTACGGGATGCGGACGCTAACCCCATGCCCAACCCTCCTCCTTTACCCGGGCTTGGGACCGGCAGTAACCCTATGAGAGCTACAGGCGGAGTTCTTTTAGAATAACTAACTCATACTTTATTATCAGAAGGGGTTTTGTGGAGATTTTAGAAATTTTCACAGATTTAAATCATGAGTCAGTTGAAGCTAGACCACCATTGAAAACCTGGAAGCACTGGACGGCCGTTTCGTCCTAGTATGGAACTCCTCAGCAATGAGCATCCAAGATGGTGTGGTGCGGGATCGTGGATGCGCACTGCTGAGGAGTCCCATACTAGGACGAAACGGTCGTCCAGTGCTTCCAGGTTTTCAATGGTGGTCTAGCTTCAACTGACTCATCATACTTTATTGTTTCATTGAAGTTCATTCATTATCATCATGATAATCCATGATTAAATTCTTTTTTTGTTGTCTATTCATCTTTCTTTATAGATTCCATATCATATTCAACCGTTTATGAATAATCATATTCTATTGAATAATCATAATAATAATAATGGAATAGTTCATCGTTCAATTAATAATCCATTTCTTTGATAAACAATTTATCATCTAGGTATTCGTTTTTTACTTCACAACCACTTACTTCATATATGATTTCTTTTGTTCATTCTTTTGTCATATTAGTTTATCTTTATGTAAGAATATACCTATACAGTATATATATATACATGTGTGTGTGTGTTTGTGTATCCATCATGAACGAATAATAAAAAGAAACACATATCCTTCCCTATCTCTTTATCAATTATTTTATTGATTAATCGATCGATTTCTTTATCCTGCCTTTCTTTATATATGCATTACATGTGTGTGTGTATTGTGTGCATGTCTGTCCAACTGAATTTTTGTCTGTCATTAAGTACACCTAGTAGAATTCACCTTTTTTTCTATAATTATTATTATTGTTAATAAGTAGTAGGTTTATAAATGGGGGAAATAACGATCAGTATTATGCGTTGTTCTGTTTTAACACTCGAGTTGTGTTGTTTTGTTTTGTTTTTCCCATTCATTCATTCATTTATTCTAAACTAACAGATGAACATGATTGTTTTGTGTTTCTATGCCGTTGATAGTGTCTTTTTATTTTATCACACAATAATGACCCTATTGTTTCCAAAGATGTATATGCCTCTTTTTTCTTTTTCTTCTATGTATGTTGTGCAGTGTGTACAAGTATAATTAATTATATATATATATGTATATTCTCTTAACATATTGTGACATTCATATCATTGAAATTATACCGACCTATGCTTACAAATATCAAATATACATATATTCATCTTATCATATGGGGGGCCTATAGATGGTTAAATGAATTGACCTATTGTTACTTTATTTAATGCTTCCTTCCTCTCCTCTCCTCCCCTCTCCTTCTTCTTTTTTTATGCTTTCATCATTCTACACCATCTGTTTGTTACAAATGAGATTTCTGTGTATGTGTGTACGGTACGGATGGTTGGGTTCTCAACTATTTTTTATCATTTAAATAAAATTGTCTTTTCGCATTTGTCTGTTTACTGCTGATTAATAATACCCTAGATCTATTATTATGATCTTTAGTCTTTGTTTATCCCTTTTTGAGTTCTTTCAGACACATATATATATATAACCCCCCGTCTCTCTCTCTCTCTCATTCACTCTCTATCGACATATATACAATTTCTTCTGCACTTCTTTTATTTCGTTAATTGTATACATCAGACTGAAATTATATATATATATATATATTTATACACATTTTTTTCATTCGTTTGTTTTTCCCCTTTCATCTTCTGTTCTTTGTGTTCCTTATTGGACAGGTAGGTAACCCCCATTCTTTCTTTTTTCGTTTTGTTTTTTTTTTCTTTTTTTTTTCATTTCTCATTTAAATAAATATACATTGACTATTTAATAAATAAATAAAAATATTAAAAATAATAACTAAATTAATTTTATTTAACTAATAAATTATGGTAATCTTGTTTATTGATTTGATTTGATGTTGTTGGTGTTTTGTTTACTTGTATCTTCTCATTGTTATTTAGAACTGCAATGGATCAGTTTCATGTTGGCATATGTGTATCCTGTACGGATTGCATTGATATAACTTTAAGCCATAAGCTATTTGTAAGTAAAGATGATTAGTGGCTAGTCAATGGAATCCAGAATAAATTACGAGACTCCTTAATTAGATGTACCTGCATCCTAAGTCCCGAAGTGAACATCAACTCTGAGATGTAGGTAGATCCAGCTGAAGAGTACAAAATAAGACGAAATGTGTTTTTATCCTGGATTCCACTGCTAGTCATTATCCATCTTTGCTTAAAAAGATTATTTATTGAATTTGAAACTATCAGTCATTTTGTATTGATTTTTATTTGTATCTTCTTATTGATGTTTAGGATTGCAATCGATCAGTCTCTTAATGGTATATATGTATCCTGTGAGGATTGTTTCGATATTGTCTTAATTCACAAACTTTTATAAGTAAAAATGAATGGTGGAATCCAAAACGAGTGTTTCATCCTATTTGGGACTCCGTCAACTGGATTGAACTGCTACCCACTATCTATATTTGCTTAACAATGCTTGACTTAAGGTTATATCGAGGTAATCCGCACAGGATGTATATATACTAATAAGAGACTGATCAATTGCAGTCCTAAATAACAATGAGAATATACAAGTAAAACAATACCAAGTGAATGTAAACTTTACCCCATTGCACAAGCAAGTGGCTAATCAGGACTCAGTAGCTTAGAGAATAACGTGATGGCGTTTGAACTGAACGGTACTTACTGGATTCGAGTCCCGAAGTGAACATCAACTCTGTGATGTAGGTACATCCAGCTGACGAATCCCAAATGGGACTAAACGCGAGTCAAACTGGATTCTCCTACTAGCCACTATCCATCATTATTCATTGTGTTCAACAACAACAAAAATCACAATGTTATCTCCATTAATGTATAATAATACCATCTAATTAAGATACAGGTTAATTCTATGGGATCTAACTAATTCAAATGAGAAAATCAATTTTCATCAAGTTATGTAGGACATTTTGTAGTATTAAGAGTTCCCCTGTTTATTTCAACATCAATTACATTGTTAACTATTCAATACCCTATCGATTTTTTTTACTTTATTTCTGTTCAATATTCAATCCTAGATCACTTGATTGACGACTATATGAAATACACTTTTGTAATATGCATATCATTGTTAAAAAGGCTAAATAATAAAATTCTCATCTCATTTATTTTATACATTTAGTGTGAATTACAATCTGATACACAAATGTTTGTTTGTTTATTTTAGTTGTCTTTTAATGACAGATATTTAATTGATTCATAAATACAAGAAGTTAATCCATTCCATGTGTTATACACTCTGGTTCCATAACAAACAAACAAACAAAAAACACTTTCAAATTGTAGTAAGACATACACCAATTATTTTCGTGAAGAATTCGTTTACTAAGCAACGGAACAACCTTCTATCTTAGTATACAATAGATATTATTTGGCAAGTAGTGTGATCCAAGATGCACATTTCTTCCTATTCGAGACTCTTCAGCCAGATATACTTGATCTTAGAGTTAATGTTCACGCTGGGACTCGAACCTAATAGAGTTGTTTGCTTCAAGTGTCATCGTGTTATCCATCTAGATACTGAGTCCAGATAAACAATCACTTATGCAACGGGTATGGAGTTTTAATTCAATTTGAAATGAATTGAATTAAGCTGATAACCACAGTATATCTATTTTATACTAACTTATGACACAGTAGTTATGTCGAAGCAATTCACATTCGAACTACACATATTAACCAAGACTGATCAAATTCCAGTCAAAAATAATGGGATAATCTAATCCATTTCAAGTTGAATGAATCATCTACAAACCCCCAGTTGATATCCAACTCTAAATTATACCGTAGTTAAGTACGATTATTTTAAACTAAGGGTCTGTTCATCTTCAGAGAATTAAAATAAGATTTTTTTTGTATGAAGATATTGTATTTTGAAGTCCAGTACGTAAGCAGAAGAAAGATCTGCTATATGGATGACATTAATTTTTAAGCTAATCACAAAACCCCTAAGTCAAATGAAACGTCTAAGAATTGTTATAATATTGAAAACAAATTACTATGATAAAGATGATGCTCTGATACGGCCGAGAGTGGGAAGAGTCCGCTATCCCCCTCGAAATGCCCTCACATGGCCACGTGTACATAACCTCTGCTAGAGAATTCCTACTCACTGGTTGGTGGACACGGAGAGTCCACCTAGGACAGTTGGGAAACCTTGATTCCAAACCACTAGTGCGCATGGGCTTCAGTATCCTGAAGGAACAAATGGCGTATGAACCAATTGTTGGTCAACGGATATCATGGGACTGCATCTACTTACGATGTTCCACTGCCTTGTGGATCAGACCTTCAGGTCGAAGGCTCCAGGTGTGGATTTAATCTTTAACCAGTGTAACTTATTTCTAATGTAGGATATCATATCTTTAACTATCGATCTATTTGTTACCACTAGTATAGTGTGATTGGTAATTTCTTAAGTATGATGTTTGAAATATTCAATTTTTAGAAGGATCAAATAGAAAATTATGTCTTTTTACATACTTATTTAACTGTTCAAAGAATAAAATATATTTGCATATTGAAAATGAAGTACTGAAGTGGTATTTTGGATTAGTGTTGGGGACGTTAGATCCTCAAAACTTACTTGAGAAAGGACCTAGTCTTGTAATTTTATTTAGAAAATTTGAATTTCTTTATTTTCGCGCCGAAGGCACTCTTGTGACCTTCATGTCGTATTTCCCACAGGGAAATATCTTAAATGCTATTGGTCTGTTGCGTCTTTTAGTATGTTATTTGGTAATTCTCCCCAAGGACGGTTTTGCACTGTATATATACGTTTTGAATTGTGTTTGTTATCGCTCGTTTCTGGCTGTTTTGCAGAATATACTTCCCATTCCAAGCTTGAACCTCTTCGTTTAGTTAGCGGGACTGGGACGCATCAATAGCTAGCTTACTGGTCTTTGGTCACCGAGTCTTATTTCTCGTTCGCAGATTAAGTGAACTCGTGATAGCTTCAACCCTAGCAATTAGATAAATATTTTTTTAAACAATACACAAACGTACACTGATACTTAGTATCGAATGCATCGCTTTTAGATAGTATGGTATGCTCTAGAATGGTACAGATATCCTTCCAGTACATTGAAATATCCATTAGTTCACTAGTTGATACTAGTTCATATTAAACATCATGCTAGAGGAGGTCTGTCACTGCCTAAATAGGTCAATGATAATGTCTTGTAATGTTAAACTGGATGATGTGGAGTATCAGTTACTTCAAGGACTAAAGGTATGGTTTGTTAAAAAGTACCAACTAGCAGAAAACTCCTAAAATCTGTACACTGAAGAACAAAATATCACTTGATGAATTCCAACCACAATTGAATGTTACAGATAATAAACAAAATGACTAATAATAGGGAAAAGATAAATCCGATGACTAATCAAAATAGGGTA